ATCTGGAGGTGCGAGCGCGCTATATGTAAGTAGAACATTTTACTCAAAAACAAAATGGTGGTGCTAGGAGAAATTGACTGTCTGGCGCTAGCTTTAGAGATTCTACAGCAATCTTTTTCTAGCCGGAAATTTATAAAATGATGGTGTGTAGCTAAAATTTGTTGCCACTAGCACAGATACCGTCCGAACTGCATTACAGTTAAAAATCATTACTATTGCACTTTGACAAACTTGCGTATGCGCAATTCTGCCCAAAAGCTTTTCAGCTCTTTCTTCTAAAAATATGTGTACCAAATTTGGTTCCAATCGGTTCAGCCGTTTAACTGGCAATTAGAATACAGACAGACCACATCATCGAGATTTTGTTTGATTCGCATTTCTGGTGCTCTAAAACGTGTACTTCCGTAAAAAAGTGTACCCCAATCGTTGAGTGAAAAGGTGATTATTTGCCAGTCAATGCAATACCTCCCTAGCAGGTTTCATTTGAAAAAATCAACTTTTTAAGATCTGAATTTGTTAAACTTGATCGATTTTAAAACACCCTGTAGAAGAGCGATCAAAACTTAAATCATTTGCATGTGGCATCACGTCAGTATTTTTGATTTTGGAAGATTTTGGCAAGTCAACGGAGACATACGTATAGGGAAATGTGGTATCAAACGACGTAGATTTTCATGTACATTTCGAAAATGCAATAAAATATAGGGTGTTCCACTTAAAATAAGAAAGATTTAAATTATTAATGAAAGTCTACAATATACTTTTAGGTAACGGTTTGCGTGAAACAGCCTGTATAGTTATGTGGCCATTCAAAATTTCAAAACTTTGTTAAACGAAGGGAAGTTTCAGCCCTTTATTATGTAATAGCCCATTACATTACTTATGATTATTTTCAAGTGATTTCTGAATACAAGCATATCAAAAGACGGATATTAATGTAGCTAAAATTATATCTCAGAGGGTTCTTGCATTTTCTACTCAATTTATATTCCTCAGTAACTTAATCCACCACTGTATCCGCTTTGCCTACAAGTTTCCAAACCGAGATTTCGCACGTTTTTAAAATCAATACGGTCTAAGTAAATTTATAATTGAGGGATTTAGATTCTATTTCAGCGGTAAACGTTGTCAAAATGGCACGCAGTAACGACGTAAACGACGTTGTGGAAGGCCGCTTTGTGCGTTATTTATTAAAGGGTTAGTCCAAAAGAAAGCGTAATTTGTTTGAAGTTTTTCGCTTTTACTTTATCTCAACCATGTCTGCAAGCGACTTTACAATGGGCTACGATTAACATAGAGAGTCCTAAGACAAAGAAACCTTGATAACGTTGGCTGTCTGGGACAGGCATACAATACTCATGTTAAGTACCGAGACGTACGTAAGCCGCTTGCGACCAAGTGTTGAATGAAGTGGATCCATTGAAGGGCAAAGGTAGATTAGCATAAGCTCGATAGGGTGGATATAGGGATTGCTTTGTCATTCCGGAATTCAGGTAGATAAGGATGTTGTGTCGTATTTAGGGGGATGGTGAAAGCAAAGACGAAATATTGCATGACAGATGAGAATTTTGCGTTAAGGGAACGTACTAGCGACAAAGAGCGGGATGAAGTTTCATAGATATTTTAGGATAAGGATTTGGGAGATATACTTTAACGTAGTTTTGTAATCACACGCCGATATTCAAATCGACAATATAACGCCTGTTTATCGCTCTATATGGTATTTTCGAAGCCGCAGTAAACATCTCCGCGAAAAATCAAAGTTTCTCCGCGGCTTTAAAACTTTTCCCTCTATAAAAGTTGATGGTAATATTCGGGGAAAATAATATATAAACTGAAGGGCTAATAACAATGAAGGCTCCGGCTTATCGCAAATCCTTTATGTACTACCTATTATGCTCTGTTTGGTATGAGGAGGTGTTAACACTTTACGACAGATCATTGTCACAGTTCAAAAAATCACTTTTTTGCCATAAGTCATATCTTAGTGTAAAGAATAGAATAGTGAGACAACCTCCATGTACGTTTTGGAAACCGCTTATTTAAGAGTTATAGATGTCGCGCGTGTGTCAATATTACCATCCACTAAAGATTGGCGGTAAAAAAATACAGATTCTTTTCTCGAAATGATTACGCTACTCAACGCTAGTACTGTACAGAAATCTGCAACATGATGATAAATAAACTACCGCTCTTTTACAGCAAGGTACACAGGACAATGTAGCTATTGTCATGAGCGCGGGTATGCGATGATGTCATCCAGTGTAAGATTACAATAAATTCTGTATACACATTTGATTATTTTTGTTCGCAGACTTTTAATCTCCTTTCCTGTGAACTTGATAGTTGTAATTTACGGGCTTTCAATATTTATTAATTATTATGATTTATGGTTTACTTAATAAATATACATGTTAGAGCAAAACTTATGCATATCGACCCGAAACTCGAATCAGAATTCCAAAATTTGCTTCAAAACTGTGTTGAAATATTATTCGTATAAATATGGTACAAAACTCCAAAATTTCATAATCACTGTGTTTTAATGTTAGATAATAAACCTTCTTATAAAAAAAATTTAAAGCTCTATACGGAACAACTCATACCTTACGTTCTGAATTCCATAATCTCGAATTACGTTTGTGTCCGTCCTTTTAACCGCGCCGCGCCATAATTCGGAAACAAAGACGAATTTTGAATGGATATTATCCATTCTAAAGCTAAACTTCGATCCTTCGGAAATTTGAACATTGCTATATTTGGATTTTTTCTTCGATTCTTTTCACAATATAAATATTGACATTCATTCCCTGCCATTTCACAGAGAAAGTAAAACTAAAATGTCCACTATTTAAAAACAAAAGTAAAACTGCCTTATGTAGGTAGGTACCATATTCTATTATTTACAGTTTACACTATTCCATCAGTACCTACATCCGATCAACAACTTTCAACAGTGCAGGATGTATATAATATTGGTAAAAGTACCGAAAGAATTTTATAATTTATTATTCTTTTCTCTATTTTACCCTCCCTATCTTCTAATGAGGGTGTAAGCTTAAAATCGTAAAACATCCGATACCTAAAATACAATGTAATTGTGAGTCACAGGACGCGGACTAGAAACAGCTTTGCAAATGTAAATACTATTTTAACCCCGTTGTTCATATACCCATAACCATACCCCACGCATAATTTCCGAAGTTTTTTATTGATTTGTCTATTGGTGTCAATTGTTAAATTATAGCACTTATAGCGATGGTTGAACAATGACAAATTTTCTTTAAATATTTAACGTTACGTTACGTACATTTTCTAAACGCATTTATACAATCTTTGATCAAATGCAGTTATATGCACTCCCAGTTTTTTGACTAGCCCCAGAAAGAAATAGATATTTAAATACCAGTATGTTTTTTGAATGCAAGAAAGACGTATATTTTGCATAGAATTTTCTCGCTGGACGGATCCTTTTACGTTAGGTCGTTAGGAAACGCAAATAGTACACGCAGAAAGGCGTTTTAAAAAGTATAGTGCCACAAACAGTCCTCACTTCTGAGAAATGGATACAATAATGAAAAAGTGCATGAAGGCACCTAAATATTGTTATTATTAAGCGGGTTAGCTTTAGTATATAAAAGCGCCCACCAGTTCTCAAAACGTACCGACTATCTTACGGACAAAGAGTACCTAATTAAGTATTCTTTGGTACGGCCGACAAATTCGAAACAATAATACCAATAAAAAAATCCGATTTTTGCAACAGTAAATTCTAAATTTTTTTGTAAATGGTTATACAATTCCAGTTAGGTATGCTGAAAATTTTACGCCCTTAATAAAATTACGTGCAAACGCATGCTTTGTCTCCCTCGCTACGGCACTTGTACGTTTTTGCTATTACGTCTATTACGAGAATCCTATATAATAGTGTAAAAGTGGATTTTTTGCACTACGCCTGAATCGACCGAAATGATCGTAATTTCACCTTAAAAAAATAAAAAGTGGACTTTAGCGCTCCTTATGTCTGTCTGAGTCACAAAGGCTCCGGAACTACACCACTTACATACTTGGTATTGGTGCAATTCGATCAGAAATTAAAAATTATTTCATGTTTGTTTACTCGTTGGCATGAATGTCCATAAGGGCTATTAAAATCGAAAAAACAAATTTGAAAGTGCACTCTTCGCCTCTTGCTTAGCGGCTTAACGAATTTTTCACTTTGTGCCTTTGCACATGTTTAATCATATCAACCAACACAACCCCAAATGAATACTAAAATTTGATACTATCCTATTCCTGCACCGAGGGATTATAGCATACAGCAGCACTGAATTAAAAAAATCCCAATTTTTATATTCAATTATGATAGTTGCATAGGTGTATTGTAGTGAAAATACCTCGAACAACACGTGCTCTACATCTTTTACTTTTAGCGCTTTTCTCGAATCAAAATGTCAAATAAGGCCAGATAAACAGGAACAGTAGTAATGCGTAACGTAAGCTTCACCTTACTTTTAATCTTTATTTGCAGAATGTGATTTAAACTGAAGGCAGTTAAAATAAAAGAACAAAGGAGCATTATTTCGCGATCTTTTTAACTACATCTTTCTCTTTCATATGTAACAAAGTGAAATGAAAAATTATAATAAATAGATCGTTGAAAAAAGCGTCACCTTAACTCGTGTAGTGTAAGGTGGCAATGTAATGTGGAAGGTTTGTAGCATGAGTCACTTTTAAAATCCGTGACAACAACGCTCTCCCTTCCGATTGTCGCGTCCAGAACTAAAAATTCTCGATGTCCAAATCAGTTTCCCTTTTCCTTCGTAAGGTTGTTTCACTATTCTATTCTTTACACTATGGTTTTAGTGTGTATGATTAATGGAAAAGTCAAATAGCATTATATAAGGTGATTTAAAATTAATAGGCTTACTCTTTCATCCATAAATAAACATCAATGGCATGGTGATTTGTAAAAATTTCATACACAAAAATTAAGAACATTACCACAAAGCCACATCGCTTGCATACTCGGCATCCAAAAACTGTATATGGGTCAATTGGCCTGTGCTAGGAATAAATTTGATCACTTGCGTCTTGTTGTGCATCTTGACACCAATAGCATTATTTTCTGCCACAATTATACATACTCCCCCATCAATAGAAATTGTAGCCAATCTTACCCCATTTCGGACTGGTATTTTGTTTATAAGACTAAATTGGCGATTCTAAAAAAGTGCATAGCGGTATATGCTTCGGTCGTTTTTGTTATACTTTAATTACCTCATACTTAAAGATTACTAAATCATTTCCTACTGTTCCATTTACAGTCTCTAAAGCTGCCCCATACCATGCTTCGCCGGCTTCAGTTTCATAGCTGAATAAATGTATATCTTTGGGTAGTTGAACTTTTATGCCATATTCGGGGATAACTCCGTCTAATACGTAAATTCCTGCAAATATAATTTTTTATTGAATTGCAGCTCAAATGGAACCTGTCTTTGATACACCCCTCAGCCGCGTAAAATTAACGGAAAATCTCCGAACACAACTCTCCGAGCTCGAAATGTTGGAGTCGATGTTCTACAATCCGGGTGAAATTCGCGTGGACGACTTCAACGCGTTACGGGAAATTAGGAATTTCGTAAACGGAACGAACGACATCATACCGCCGTTTCTGGACATCACAATAAATCTGTCGATCGAAAATCTCAAATACGAGTTCTGCATAAATCTATCACACGAGTATCCGGATGTCGAACCGGACATTTATATTCGAAACCATAAACTAAACCGGGAACAACATGCCAAAATAAACAAGGGAATGTCCGACTACATTGGCAAGCTGGAGAAGGGTGAAGTCTGTATATTTTCCGCCATTTCCTGGCTACAAGACAACGCATCTTGTTTTGTGGAGTTAGAGGAAGAAGTACCGGTGAAGAAAGTGGAAGAGAGTGATGAACTCATTCGTCTGTGGATTTACTCCCATCATATCTACAGTAAAACGAAACGACGGGAAATTGTGGACTTGGCGAGTCAACTGAAACTAACCGGATTTTGTTTGCCCGGTAAGCCGGGAGTTATTTGCGTGGAAGGGTACAAGAGGGATTGCGAGGAGTGGTGGCAGGCGATTAAGTCGATGAATTGGAAACGGATTTTTTGTAAAATTAGCGAGGAGTGTAAGGGGGGTAAGGAGGGAAGCTTTTTAAAATTCGATAACTTCGAGGAAAAGATCTTTCAAAATCGTGATGTTAAGTGCAATCACATGGATATGGGAGAGTTACACAAGTTTTTGGGGATGCATAATTGTGATTATATTTTTAAGGATCTTTTTGGTGTTGATTCAAGGAATAACTCTGCGTTTTGAGTGTAAATTTTTTTGGAGTCTAACCATTTGCTCAACTTGTACATAAATATTTTAGGAGGAAAAATGTACCTAGTATAAGTAGTTCTAAAATTCAAATATTTTGGTTGCTGTTGGTTAATTATAGCAGAATCGCATTACACTTATATACACTTGTGAGTGGACATTTTTGGGTTACCAAGTTACTTACTCACCTGCATTATCTTTTATAAGCGTAATTGTATGATCAATAGGTAAACTTCGTCTATGTAACCTATGCTCAATTGTGCCATGGGTCTGCTCAATTAGTGCGACATAATTTTCTACTTGTTTATTAATAAATGCTTCAGATTCTTCTAGTGTATTGCCTGAAAATATTTTTCATGAATCGTACAATTTTATTAACTTGTACGACTGTACCTTTTATGTTAGGATGTTCTTGAAGATTTGCAAAAAAATTGTCGGTTAGATGTTCTACATTTTCACTTGGGAAATAACAAAAAATTCTTGCAGGATAAATTAGAATAAGTAGAAACAACATAATTCTTAAAGGCACTGTGGAGTTTCACTGTAAATATGCAACTATTGTAAATTTTTGTATATTTTTATATAGACTTTAATAAAATCTTATCTAATTTCTTTAACCATATTGCATTGTTGACAAGTGCCATTTATCATTTCTAATCCTACCTTTGCTCCAACGAAAAGTAAATTTTGCACATTTTATAAACTTAGGAATGTCATTTGAAAATATTTTACAAACCATGAGATAGACCTCATCAGTTGAAATGAGGAGATCTTTGTTAGGAAAAAGTTTTAGTGTGATGAATTTTCTGGTGGGGTCGAGAAATCATAGAGGTACCTAGGCGATATCTTGATAATGCTTTATATACGCATAATTGGAGTACCATGAAGGATGAAACCAGTTCAACCCCACTCCCTCTCTTGATAAGAGGTCAGAAAGAAGGGTGGTATAGTTGGTAGAAATAGGGTTCCTTTCGTTGAGACCTTTAATTAGAATACCATGAAAGATAAAATTAATGATACTTCAAATAAAAATCTTAAATTGACACAGATTCCATCAACAGCAACACAAGGCATCATATAAATCTTGAAAGCCCATAAAGGTAATGCAAATACAACCAAATAAACAAAAACAGAAAACATATTGGAATTTAATAACTATGTTCCTACAATTCTTTATACAAAAAAATAATACATCAACATTATCTAATAGTAGCATACTTTACAAATTCAAGACTGCTAAAATTTGCGAAATTATCCATAGAAATTCCACGACCTTCTGTAGGACTGTGAATCTTTATCTGCCTCATATGCGTATCTCTACCATTTTGATGATTACTGGTAACGGCAATTTGAATCATAAACATTCGTATCGGTTTATCGTGTACATCTTTAATAGGGATATGCACCCAACCTATACAGATAGTATTAGAAAAGCTACTTAGATAGAACACAACTCCCATACCTGTGGGTTCTGTTAACATAACCACTTCAATTTCTTGCAAGTCGTTAAAATGTGTACCGATCCTTATTGAAATACGACTCGGTGTATAACTTTCATCGAGCTTATACTCCGAATAAATAAAAATGTCGCTAACAGTAGTCTTACGTTGAAATTGAATGTTTACTAAATGGGGAAGTTGCCCATCCGACTGCCAGTAAGTGTCTGTACGATCATCTCTCAACTGCTCCACTCCAAATCCTAGGAAAGTTTATGCACACGTAAGGAAGGGTTCTTGTATATTTACCAGGTTTGCATGATGATAGGCTCCAGATTGCCTGAGAGCCAACTTCACGGACGTTTCCCATACGTTCATTTTTAACAGGATCTACTTCTTGCGACTGCTTTGTGGTCATAATTATTGAGTATCCGACCAATGTGTTTATTCGATCAGATGAAAATTATTAATCTATGATTACATTTAAAAATTGTTGTTTATAAACTATTACCATAACCTTAATCTCGCTGTTTTAAAGCGGTCGGTGGCAAAAGTCACAGTTATTTTTCCCTACTACGGCAATGACAACGGAATATACAGGGTGATGAATTGTTTACGCATCAGTTCGGCATAATAAATAAACATACATTATTGTTTTTACTCTGGGCATGGACAAACTCAATTTTTCAATCCGCTATCTATATCACTATTATGATCGTTTAATGACTAATGACTAAAAGTGAAAAATGCCCTGCGCAAAGGCACCAATTTTAACAGAATATTTTCTCTCATGAAGTCGGGAAGCAAAATGTTGTGTATGTTGCGTAAATCCCTCACTTGTGTACCACTCCACAGACGGCTACGCCTCGTGTGTAATCTCGACACACGCGTGAGTCAAACTTTTAGTTTCTCCCACGGTGTAACAATCCTGGTTTCTCCTCTTACACTGGAATATAAGTACTACTTACCTTATTGGTTACATATTGGCCAGTATTGTCACCGTTGTATATGTGCCTTTTTTATTGTGGTGAATTCATCATACGTATTTTCCAGATAGTAAAAATGAAATGTAGCAGAGCTATACCTTCTATTGTTAAGTAGGCCGGTTTTATAACCGAGCTTCGAAAGGGGTTTAAATATATCCATAGCATAGCTTTAGAAAATTAAAAAGTTAGAAACATGCATGTTTTTCTTCTTCTTGTACAGTATAGGTACACTTAGTCATCGTCAATGAAGTAAATAAAACCACTCAGCTATATTTTCAATTCATTACGTATACTCGATACTTGTGTTTTCAATCTGCGTAGGTATTATCGATTATTTTAATATTTAATTAGAGTTTAAAAAAAGTTGTCGAAATGCGTTATTATACCTACATAGTTCTAATAGGTATTTTGATGATTTCAACGTGTTTGTTTATATATCTACATATATCTAAATGAACTTCCTTCACTTATTAGATGTTTATTTTTCAATAATTATCTTAGCTTTCGCGAATAAGATTAATAATGGTGCCAACCATTGGACTATACGATATCATAGAGTAAATTATTTACTCTATAGCGATATGCAGGATATGTTGTTGCTATAACAATAACATATACATCCGGATACCTTTGTATTGAATTCGCAATCAGACCAAACACATTGTCTATTTATTAGTATTATTTTGTTTAAATTATCCAGATGATTACCTCAATGAGGGTCGGCTTTTTTATATTTTTGTAATCATAATAAATTAATATATTTACTGTTGTCTATCACTACCTTGTACTTCATTCAGGCCTTGGGCTATGTTTTTAGCGCCCGGGCTATATTTAGCGTAACTAATGATCGCTACGACCGAGCTTCATAGGGTTATATTTATCTGTATTGGTTTTGAAACACTGGCAGAAATAAACAGCATTTTACTACAACCGTTAAATGATAAGTACAATTTATTATTGCACAATGCACATGTATTGTGACAAAAATTATACAAATTTTGAACACAAAATAAAGAAAAACTTTATATGCAAATGAAAGTTGTGTGGGTTGATTCCCAAGTTTCAGAATTCAGAACACGAAATCTCGACGTCCAAGTCGGTATTCTTTTTTAAATTGAATTTCAGTTTCCTACCGCCACGCGAAAAATGACTGTGGCTACGCCAATGTTCAATGATTGTTATTGGATGCGAGCAACTCGTCCATCCAATCCCGTTCTTTGTGTATTTTTTCAAAATTACTGGTTGCCTATGCTCAATTGAAAGCCTTCAATTTAACTCGATTCCGTTTATAGCTTGTCCAATCTATTAATTCCCGATAAATGAGATATTTCGTCAATGCATAAATCGATAATTTTGATTTTTGTGACTTATCGCAATTTAAGCCGGCTTTGCGTTGACGAGCGCACAGCGCACTGCGCAGCGCCAGTCGTCAACGTAACGTTGTGGTGTGTGTGTCGGTGTTCGCTACGTGTATTGCAATTACCTGCTTTTTTTTGTTATCGCGGCAGATTGACAAGTGTTTTTCCGCATTTTCATATTTCAATAGAAAAGGTCCTGTGATTCCTTCAGAAAATGCCGTTTTATGAGCGTGCAGAAGGTAATTATATAAATAGTGTACATTTGTATGATATCGATTTAAAAATGCGCTTTCTTGCATTTTTACTATAACTTTATTTAAACCTACTCATGAATCATGCCGTATATGACGTAAAGAACATAATCTGTACCAATTTCATTAATTTTCCTTATTGATTGATACACCTACACCGGTTTTCTTTATACACTTTATGGACTGTATAGGAAGTACAAGTACCTAATAAGGTAAAGGAATTCACCGTGCTATGGGTGCAAAAATTTTACTTGTGCAAACGGTACGAGGGGACTTTTATGTAATCTACCAAGATATGAACCAAAGAATTTAATGCAAATCAAAATTGCACATTACGCACCTTCAATCTCTCCACTCTTATTCCACCTTTTCCGTAATAAACGGATACTTCAAAGAATTAGGTAATTCTTTTGGGAGCGCTTCAAAATACGAGTCAAAAAGTCCATAACATCCACTTTTAGGTGATCATCAGAAGCAAATCGTTGACCTGGTAAAACCTGGTAAAGTACCTACTTAACTCGATAAGTAAGACCGACTCACAGGGTGCGCTAAATCCGTACTATAGAGCGGATGCTTAATATAATTCATTACCTAATTAATTAAATTAATATAATTACTGGAAGCCACATTCATCGATAACTTGAAGCTTTTGATCGTTGGGCACCCTATAATAATTATTGAATATCCTATCCTGTCGTTGTAATTGAGCGACTATTTCCCGGTCCATATAGAATTTACCTCGGAATTTAAATATGAGGAAAATATGTATTCGCCAAAATTTAGACGTCTTCGAATTTAATTTTATTTTCATAGTTAAAGTATGGTTATTAATCGAGTGACTTCTTCCAATGTAGGTGTTGGACTCTGGATTTGATATCGAAATCCCGAATTTCACATTATTCTAATCTATGCCATTTGCTACAAAGCCCAAAGGCGAGTACAAAGGTCTGTACACGAAGACAAATTTTTTGATTTTTAAAATTGGAAATGTTTATGGTTTCATACGAGGTTTCATAGGTAGGTATATCGTCGACGTGGTATACAGTTATGAGTTTTTCATTCAAGCAGAAAAGGCAACAGTGTCGCATCAAGTGACGATTGTACCCGATTGTATGACGATTGTACCCGATTGTACCGTACTCGGTAGGTTAAGGAAAAATAGCAGATACTGTCGATTCGGTACTTACTTAATAGTGCGGAATTGTTTTGTTAATTCCAATCTAAAATTCTCGCACATCTCCTTTGATGGTATTACGAGCATGTTACAACGCTTATTATTTAGAAGGGTGGTCCGATTGAATAAAGAGTTATTTGCGTTTTACATGTGGCGTTATCATTTCCAATGTGTCCTATTGTTGCGTGCACTGCGAAATCTGTGATTTTTCAGCGTAACACAACGAAGTTGAGAAAACACTTATTGCTCTTCCGTCGTCTGTCCGTCTCTTCCATCGAGATCTCGGCCATTGATAAGTAAATTCTCAATAAGTAAAACTGCAAAACATTGCCCATTCAACCAATTCTCTATTTTTTATAATAAGAAAGTTACCCATGCAATCCCACCCCAACTGGGACACACTGTATTTATTATATATTATTACCTATATGTATTTTGCATTTTGAAATCCAGGTTTTATCACTCGCACGTTACTAAGAGAGGTATTGCACTCGATATTCCATTGGGGTAAAAAATTACCCCCCCCCCAACTTTTATGTCGGAAGTACACGTTTTGAAGCACCACCGAATTAAACAAAATCTCGATGATGTCGATCGGCCTGTCTGTCTGTACTCTCATTTCGGGGTAAACGGCTTAAAACAAAATTGTGTACACATATTCTTCGACACTAAAGGAAGAACTGAGTAGCTTTTGGCCTGAATTCGCCTGCGCAAGTGCGTCAAATTCTCATTTCCGGCTGAACCTGCTGGAACCAAATTTGGTACACATAAAAGTGCAAAATTTCGCATGCGTAGGTGTGCGGGTGGTATCAGTGCTAGGTACAGCAATTTTTTTTTATTTTATTGGTGACCGGTTGAGTAGCGCCAAAGCTGAGGTGCTACGTTTTTATGGTCCATTCGCCTAAAAGCGTTTGATTTGAGCTAGCATGCGGGGATTAATAAAAACCCAATTTGAACCTGCGAAATTTGAATTACTTGGGTCAATAGGTAGTACCAGTGGCGTTACAGGTATCGGGAAAGTTAGGGGTCACGAAATTAAGTAATTTCAAGAATTTATAGGAGTGTAATTCATTACGATCAGTGGCGCCGTGAAATTTTTTTGTTAAGGGGTCTTGAAAATTTTGATTTTTTTTTTGGAAGTTACAATATTTATGAATTTTACGAGGAAACAATGGCCCGTATGAATAAAAGTGAGCAAATGCTTATACTTGCAAAATTCAAAGTGAATACTCGCAAGTGCCCCTTCATAGTGGTTTGTTTCGCAGCGCTGCACTGTGTCCTGTCCTGCTACTTAGTAGCGCTGCTATATCGCCCAGTGTGAAGGAGCACTTATGAGTATTTACTTTGAATTTTGCAAGTATAAGCATTTGCCCACTTTTATTCATATGGGCCAATGGTAGGTTTTTATCGAGGTTTTTATTATTGCATGGAATTACGATCAGGCCAAGAGTCAACGAAACATCATAATGGGACAATTTCGTTGATTCTCAAATGACTAATTATACCAATATTCATTCTAACGCACAAATTAATATCCTGTACACTGGTTCCGTGTGTTTCGAGAAGTGGTAACGTAACAAAGTTAATAAAAAATACAAATTGGGAGTGGGAAAGTGAGACGTGCAATTCCAAGATATGATTGATAAATGAGATGATGAAATTCACGAAAATCCAGAACAATAAACAAACTCTCAAAATTGAAAATTCAACATTCAACAAAATTTGAACATTTCAATACCAATAACATAATAACGGATAGGTAACAGCTGTGACTTATGAATCTGATATTCCTGGAACCTATAGTAACAATTTCTAAAAGCAATTTTGTCTCGAATTTTGTACTGATATTTAATTTTAATTTCTTTTGTCTCCTATGGTAGACCATTAGACCATGATATTGATGAAGTCAGTGAAACAAATTGTATAAAATATCACATAACTAAATAATTTATATAAAATATAGCGTACATAATGTAATAGACAAAACACACAAAAGAGAATGTAATTCAGTATAAAAATCTGACAAACACTCTTCTACTGAATAGTATCTAACACTGGGACAATAAAAAATTTGTTACCTCCAACGTAAATTGTTTATCTCAGGTTTCAGACCTGAAACATTCTGGGTTTCTTAAAAGGTGCCCATATATCTTGGATTGTTTTCTGACATACTTAGTCTATTCTTACCACGCCGCCCGCGTATAGTATATTGCTCGGTATATTGTCTCCAACTTTAGTAGTAGAGTAGCTTTAATTTATTAAGCCTAAAAATTCCTATTCCAAAATGGAGACGATAAAGAAATTCGATCTCCACGAAACATTTTAAATAATTGCACGCAAAATTAATTATTTAGAAATATTCGAAAAAGTTACTAGTATCCACAAATTCAAACAATCCGAAAAATTGGGAGCGTTAAATAAAGGGCAAAAATTCAAAAAGAAAATTGAAAAATTCACAATTTCAAAAAATTTGTAAAGGCAATATCTCTGTAGTACTTCTGTTTAAATAATTTGCAAATAACCAAAAATTTCACAAAAAAAAAATATTTGTTGACGGCCAAGCAATCGTATTTTAATTACTATTAATTTATTTATATTAAATTAATTAAATTAAATTTAATATTTTATATTAAATAAAATTCTATTGTTGAAGGTACGGTTACTTTAGAATCCGTCAATATGACGGAGAAACGCCAACCTAAAAAATGCAACAATTTGAGAATATTTTTCATGAAAAATTCTTTTTTATTTTAGTCTCGTTAAAATTAAGACGACTTTCTTTGGTTTCTTTCCACAGGGCATTCAAAGATAAGTGGCATGGTATTGATTTAGGTTTGAATTTCTGCTGTTAAACAATCTTTATTTTGTGAGTTGATTTTTTCTGGTATTGTTGTATTGTCTTCTCGTCTCTCTAGATTTTTTCGAACATTTCTGTGTTTCCCTAGAATTTGATGGTGCCCAATTTCTCGCGTACTAACATAAGTACATATACCAATTTGTGAAGTTTCCAGTTTCCTTTACAGAAAACTGACCAGTACATATGGTGGGGAGGAATTAACATCTCGTGAAAAGTATCTAATTCAGTTATCCTTTCGTCAAGTACTCTTTAATGTATTTGTTATAAATAACAATTTTATTTTTCTTTGAACCACGTTGCCGGAACGCGTAACAATATTTTTAAGTAATTACGCTAGGCGTAATAGTTACATATACAAGTGAAGGTTACCAGAGACAAGTACAAAAAATTACGATGAGCTAAGTAGCGACTGTCGATAGGTTTTACTATTAAATATGATTCATTTCATGAAATTTTGTGTCATTATGGCTGCATTTTTATGCTCAAATTACATACAACAATATGAAATTATTGTACCTACCTCCATGCGTTTTTTTTTGTATTTTTCAGGTATAATGCTAAAGTATTTATATTTCCTGAATGAAAAAAAGGTTCTTACGGACTATAAAATAAAGAAGGAGCACGCGAGAAACCTTTTCATGGCCGAATTTAAACCGGAACACAACATTACAAAATTTCCTTTTTCCACCATGTATCGGTTCATGTTAGACTGGGGATTAATACATTATCGAAGTAGAAGAACCGAGTTTATACATTTCAAGGAAGAAACGTTTGCCTACTCTATGAGATATTTTACCCAGTCTGATTTAAAAGTTAAAGTTGACAGCGTTACAGCCCAGCCTCCCGCCGCTAGCAAAAAAAAGAATAAGAAGCACGAATGCAAGACGTGCCAACTGTATTTCTTAAATGCTAGCCTGTTGGTTCAGCACGAGAGCTCGGAAACACATCTGCAGAAGAAGAGCTGGATCGAAACGTAAGCTTGGTTGATTTCTTTTTGTCTGGTTTACTGGTGTAATTTTAGTCATAACGCGACTTTAACGTCGGAAATTGCTGTTGAAGTTGTAAAAGGTCATGGTGGAGGGCCCGAAACTATAGTCCTAAGACAGAGAGAAAAACATACCATCTTCTTGCACCTTTTAAACCAGAGTTCAGACGATCACATTATTCTGGTAACGTCCCATACATCGTCATCCTACATCGCAATACGTCAAAGCCATTCCCCACATTTACTGGCTGTGAATTGTAAAGAAACAGTCGAGCTAACAGCAACATTCCCGGAGTGCATTTTCTGGAGTTACAAATTAACGTTCTACTTACAAAATGTGAATACAAAAACGTATTTCTTTGTACTTAAGGAACTTGTAAGTATTTCTTCAGTTTCCAACGTTGCTACAAAGACAAAGTAGATATTTCAGGTGCAATCAGAGTTAGTAGACGATTTGGGCCCAACAGAACCGTACCGTAAAGAGATTCAGCAAAACATTCGTAATGGGGAAGCAGAAATAGTTCCAGGGGTGCCCCCGCCACCGTAAATATTTCTTCAAAATGTTTTCTTCTGCTGATGTATTTCTTATTTTTTAGAACTTCGTCCCAGTATCTTTACAAGATCAAATTCCAGCAATACCCTCTTCCCCCCTACATGGTGGTATTGTTGGACAATAACTTGACACAGTTTTCAAATATGGAGGTGATTGAAAATAATATGCTCACATACATAAAGTAAGTGATAACCGTCTGAAATTAAAAGTTAAGATTTTAATAGGAGACAATTGGCGTACTACTCTAACATTTCCACACTGGATGCGAAAAATTATTTCAATATCAATCAGTTACGGTTATACATGGAGGAATATCAGATGAAGATTGACATTCGTTCTTACGATGCTAAAGATCAGATACTTCACGAAGCTAAAGGGTTTCCAAGTCATTGTTTCGAATTATTCGTAAGTATCCATAATAGGAAGGTATGATTTTCACTTACATGACCAAGATCAATATAGAGTAGTTGAAGAAAAGTTTTGTAATTTCTAAGGCTGGCATTGTTTTTTCGTATTGATTGCGAAAAAAAATGAGGCGGTAAATTTTGTTCAGCCGAATAATGCAGGTAGGTATTTCGTTAAATTTTAAGTATTTTCAGTTTGTAAGAGAAGTGTTTGACTCAGATAATCTTTTGTGGTTTGTGGTTGGACAGCTTTATCGGAATTCAGTCATTAGGAACGTACACACGAATTTGAGATTCTGCTGGGAGTTGTACTAGTGGGCGCGACCACGAAAACGCTATCAGCGAAAAGTTTTTAATTCATTAGTTTTTTGCTGTTTAAATAGGGCTTTTGGATGAGTTGATGTTTTCGCGGTTTTCCGCGTCGCGGTAATCTTTAGAGTCAAATAGAAACAAAATTACAAGTTCAAATGCCCTGAAATTTTAGTATATTGTAAATTGAACCTTTCTCAATAAGCATACATACACATTTTTAGGTACTTTCAATATTTAATTTTTGTAAACACTAGAGCCGATTTTGTACCAGTTGTTTTTCTCCGAAACGGATGGCCGCGTCATTGTCTTCGGCGTAATGCCAGCAATACAATAATTACTAAATTCAAAAATGTAGTAGAACGAAATAGGTTTTAATTTGGTACAAGTCCCATTAAAATCGACCCAATGGTTATTTTTTTATTAAGCCTCAAACTCGAGTGCAACATTTTTGCGTCGACGGTAGATCTTCGGACTGGATTTCCGATATAATTTTATGCAACCTTTCAGTGTGCATTCTGGGCGCATTCCAGCTTGCGCTGCGAATTTCCTCCAGATGTTACCGACTTAGGGGTTTATCGTCGAGGTCCTACAGTACGTAATTGTGGTCTCACCAGAGACTTGTTATAACTAGACTGCGCTTAACGTATCTAAGGTGTTGTCGACACAGTATGCAACACACAATGCACTGCGGGGCAAAAATCGCTAAGATGATGTGCAATATAATGAAATAAGCTGTTATTTTAGATGTTCCGTCCATTAATAATTCTTGTGATTAGCTCGAATTAGTGAACAGATAAATTTCTGTTGAGAATAAACCAATAAACTTAGGTTAACTCGTGCCTATCAACATGTACTCTGTCGATAAATTTTTAAATAATATGCTGATTTTCAACAGATAAAAGTTTAAAGGGCCAATGGATCAGAGCCATTCGAAGAGAAAAATGTACTCCCACCATAGTGCATTTGCGGGGAATGAAGCCGATTTTAGAAAGGTACCGACGAAGGTGTTAAACAATAATGCAATACCGAACGTTTTCGACTTTCCCATTCAGTTAAAATAACGTAGAACTATTATTCGACATCATTTACCAGCAAGACAACAGCAGTACCTATTTGCCTATTAGGTGTTTTCTTACAAGAAAAATAGCTAAGTCTATGTTCCATATGTGCAAGCGCAGATGCGATATTCGGATCGGAGAGACAGTCAAAGCTTTTAACTAGAAAAAATCGTGAAGGATTGTTGCACGTATCAAGCGATGCATTAAAAATTTGCCAAATTGCTGAAAATGTGTTCAGGTTTTTCATTCAAACCACACCACACCGCGTTGTAAACAAAATGGTTATCAGCAGTCTAAGAAAAACAAATAACAGTTACAGCCCATTTGGGTTTTTGGGTAGGAATATATTGAATCAAAATCCGCTAAATAATCATATCTTACTACTTACAAGTTTAGTTTTAAGAGTATATTTTCCCATACGTGTTCACGACCAAAATACACATATAAATCAAATTAGGACTAGAGTAAGGCAGTTATATACCAATTTAGTTCAAATAAAATACTAATAAATTCCATTAAAACAGTTAACAGCTATATGTTATCTTTTTTTGCTACTAAAATTTAGAATAAACATGGCTAAAGCAAGCTGCAGAACGTACGTCTGCCCCGCGATGAACAGTTGGTTGCCTATCCTATCTTGACAACAGGCGTTTATAGTAAAATCTACGTTACGCGCAGTCTAGTTATAACAAGTCTCTGGGTCTCACAGACACTTTGAGACGTTGTTAAGCACCCATTCCTACTCTTACATGTTTTTAAACTTCCTTAAGGGTCAAATCTAAAATAGCTTGCAGTTTCACCTTCGGAAAAAATGTTTCCAACGATGTCATTTGGCCTATTATTCTATTTCAAACTAGCCTTTGCCCTCCACCTCGCACATAAACATTACCCTCTGTCTTAACTCAGTTTTTCCCCGTTCCCATGGGAATTTCGGGAAGTATTTACCCCTCACCAGTATGCTTGCTCTACTTTCTCGTTCACGGACAGATAACCAATTTTTATTGCAGAAGTTTGTATGTAAAAGTTTATCCTTGTAACTACTTTCCACATATGTACTAGTTTTAACCGAATGTCAAGTATTGCATTAATTTATTTTGTAGGTTCCCGGATTGGCTGAACACAGGCCATCAGTTCTTCGTGGTGATTCTGTATATATTCGAGAAACACCTGACTCTAATATAAAATATGAAGGTATAGTCCACAAAGTTACCCAAAACAGTTGCATACTCGGACTGAGCTATAAGTACGCATATTAACTTTCCTTAATCTTCAACATTAAGCCGATTTATTATAGATTTGCAGAAACCGTACATGTAAAAAATAAAAAGTATGCGGTATCATTTACTTTCAATAGATTTCCAATTCGTGCAGAACATCAGGCAAATGAACTGGTAAAAAAACATGAGATTATCCCACTGCTATGCCCATCAAAGTTATCGGCCAATCCTTTAACTGTTAATAAGTACCTAATAGTGCCTTGTGAGGAAAATAAGTTTATTTGTAATTTTTTTAGGTTGGTATGGTATAACGCTGGCATTGGAACGAATGAAAAGCAGCAGGAAGCTATTCATCACATTGTTTCTGAAACTGCGCGGCCTTATCCGTATTTGGTTTTTGGCCCTCCGGGTACGGGAAAAACCATCACTTTGGTAGAAGCAATTTTACAGGTATTTTGTCTCTAATGCGCTCTCGTGCTTTTCTATAGTTATCTCAGTTTACACGTTATATTTTCTCCAGATACGAAAACTAAAACCGGAAAAGAAGATTCTGGTTTCTGCACCCACAAATTCGGCGGCCGATGAAATAACAAAACGACTTATCAGTTATAGCGTTTCAAAGATGGCGATGTTTAGATATGTGGCACCTAGTCACGCTTATGATTTAATTGACACGGACGTGAAACCGTACACAAACTTTCGCGATGAGTTTTATCATCCGGAGAATAGCGAAATATTAAAGTACAGCATTGTAGTTACTACGTTAATTACGGCGTTTAGGTAACTGATATAGAAAGGTTCTTCGGGTATTACAGTGTGATTTATTAGGCTAGTAAACGGCGGAACTCCACCCAATCATTTTTCGTACGTATTCATCGACGAGAGTGGCCAAGCCACCGAAACAGAAACTCTGATTCCTATCGCCGGAATTCTTAGCAATATTGAAAGTAAAGGCGTAATTAATGGACAAATTATTTTGGCTGGCGATCCAAAGCAGTTAGGTCCCGTAATCCACTCAAATAAAGCAAAGAACTATGGTTTCGGTAACGGGAAAACCTGGTTGAATTGTATATCAAAGTTTTTTCCTTAGGTATGTCCATGTTGGAGAGGCTTATGACACATTGCGCACCATATGCAAAAAATAAAGACACAGATACATACGATAGCAATGTTTTGACAAAGTTAGTTAATAGCTACCGATCTCATCCGGCCATTTTGAGAACATCAAACAAGTTGTTCTATGATAACGAATTGAAACCACCACCCCAAGATCACCATTTGCAAAATGTTGCATTAGGTTGGTCTGAACTACCAAATAAGAATTTCCCCGTCTTGTTTCACAGTGTAGTCGGAAAAGATGAGCGGGAGTCTAACTCGCCTAGGTATGTATTAAATGTTACTCATGGCCGATGCAGAGAAGAAAAAATATGTGTTTTGTTTTGTGATTTTCTTGACGAAAAGATTCTTTAGCTTTTGTGTGTGTATACCAAACACCATCCCGACTTCGTGATTCCATCAGGTCTTTTCTTGTATTTTCTGTAACAACCATTGGGTTCGCGTACTACACGTAGGGAATTTCTGCTGAAGTCAGAGGGCGTTTGATAATATCATTAATCGTATCAGGTGGGGCTTTCGCCCAGCACTCAAAATTATCTGATCAGGACATGGGAACACAATGAACGGTGAACCAACACATTAAACAGATCTGCCAGCTTTTACAACTTACATTTGCTTAATACGTAACTTTGGTAATCCAGAACTGGTTTGATGAGGTTAAGAAATTATTGTAAACGCTGATGGGGTGATAAAATTTTAATTTCACTCCAACTCCAGGCACAGAACCTTTACTTAGCGAAACTGTCCGTCAAATTAAACGCAACAGTGACGTACGCTTTTACAATGGACCCGAAAACAACATCGTTTATTTTTCGTATTTAAAAGAGAAACTACCCCCATTCAAAAATTCCATATCGTTGTTTCCTGGCGATACTCGAAACTGCTGCGTCGACCGAATGGATGAACCACATGCGTTGCTTATCTCGCACGTATTGTTATCACATAACTAATTAACCCTTTATGATCTGTGCATGGAAAATGCGTTAAAGTTACTCGCAAACCTTTTTACTTGTTACATATAAATCATCCACAAGCTTTCATTTGATAAAAATGTATGTTTTAGCTTTTTTAACCTACAAGAAGTAGACGTAGTGGTTAGTTACTTACAAAAACTAATTGGGAATCGTCTGAGCGGTATGAAAATTGAACAAAGCCATATTGGCGTTATTACACCTTACCGCAAACAGGTAGCGCAATTATTAGCAGACATAAATGATCGAGACAAATTCGTTTCAGGTTTATAAATTAAAAGCAGCTTGTACGAAAAAGAGGTGGGACAAGTTGAGGATAGGAAGCGTGGAACAGTTTCAAGGGCAGGAACGGTTAATTATTATCGTGTCGACAGTTCGATCCGACATCAACTTCGCCGCTGAAGACATAAAGTTTCATTTAGGTTTCGTGCAAAACGCTAAGGTTACATTGTCAATGTGTTTCTGTGGTCGTTTGAAATAATGTCATTGTAGAGATTTAATGTTGCCATCACCCGTGCAAAGGCACTATTAATTGTAATAGGTAATCCCAATCTATTACAATTAGATACCTATTGGAAGGATTTTATACAGTATTGTATAGAGAATGGATCAGTAGCCGGCACCAAGTTTCAATTGTCTGATGATGTGGTACCATTGCAGAATGGTAATTTTTTTTTAAATATTTAAACCTGTTTGCCGAATGTTTTAACTATAATATTGTCTAAAGATATAAGCAGTACAATAATGCCAATATTACCTCCACTGAATGTGTGGACAACAAATTCAGATTTTTAGGTCATTATCTTTTTTCAGGTATACCTAATGAAGATATTAAAGAAGAGGACGTAAATTTCTCACGAGGTAACGTTTAATTTTAAACGTTTGACTGCCATTTTTCCTAGAAGTTACCATTTTTGTTAGGTGCATTTCTTGATTTACTTAGAATGTTAAGTGTATTAAGTTTGTTCTTTTTTAAATATAGTTTTTTTTTTAATTTTTATGTAATTAACTTTGCATTCATGACCCAAAGAGTGATTTCAACTCCTGCAACTTTATGTTCGTCAGTAAAACTTTAGGGACTTTTTGGAGAAATTAGGGTTTACCTCAAAAAAGATCTTGTAACAAATTTTGCGCAGATTGTAAAACATTTGACATTTAACATTGTGCCATCTTCCTTCAAACAAAGGAGAAACAGAAACTGACATGAAATTATCCTTGCCAATCGAAAATGACCACCTGTTTGAAAGCAGTTTGTTTGTGTCAAAATTGCTAAGGTAACATTGATTGTGGTACAGTGTACAGAACAACAAAGTATAATGACATTTTTCGTGTAGTGTTAATCTAAAATGGAGCTAGAATTACATCGTGTGGATTACAACATAGTAGGAATCACTTCAAAGTCATGCATGAAATTGTTACCACACACAAAAACCGGAGAGCAACAAAAGGTGGTAATAGCAGATAATGAAGGAATTTTACAAGTGTTCTCGGTAAAAAAAGAGGATATCCAATTACAATTTAAAACACTTCCTGGTCACAAAATTACATCGGTGCAATTAAGTGGAGAACCTGGTAAGCTGCTAAATAACTGAGTTGTTGTCGTCAACTGTATTTTAATCACTAACAGGTACAGTGTGCGATAAAATTTTCGCATCTTCAGAAAATGAGGTTCGTGGGTTTACAAGGAAAGGAAAATTGTTTCTAAGCTTCGACTCAAATATGACCGAGCCAATTACATCGATGTAAGTTTTCAATACCACAGGGACTTTAAACAGTAATCTCTTTCCATTTTTTTTTGCACTTAACGTTTTAGAAAATTTACTTTAATTGTATAAAGTGAACTGTAAGACTGATGTTTTAGGTATGTCCTTGGAAATGACCTGTTTCTGTGTGGCAAACACACGTATAATCACTACAAAGACTGTAAAGATATTGGTTCATATTTATGTGGAGATTGCATTGTCGATGTAATTGCGTTACACACGAATAAAGTAAGTGGTGTGATTCTATTATTTTCTTCGGGTAAGTATAATTGATTGGTGATCGTGAGATCAACAAAACTGCTATATTACCTTACTAGGTTGGACTAACACCAACACACTACTTCTTGGAGTGGCAGGCTCTTTTTACACACAAAAATTTAAACACATTCAAAATACTTTTGGAGATCTTCACACTTTCAGTTTTTATCTCGCCAACATCCGTCTCATCCAGACGTCTTATTTTTTTTACACCTAATTCTCGAAATCTGGAAAAATTCCCTCCCAAAAAGCATCAATTTTTAGATTACCATTACCAAAACTATGCATGGTGAATTTTCTCACGTTGAAATTAGCCCATAAATGAAAAATTTCAACATAGCAGACAAGATCATGGTATTGCAATAAACATTATTATTATTATCGCACTCCAAAATAGAGAAATACCACTAGAGGAAAAATAGTGACACAAATTACATGTAAAAGTTACTCACGTTTCACTTTCCAAAACAGAATCTCTGGAAATAATTCATGCCCCCCCCCCCCCTTAAGAAAACAAAATTTGATCCGTTTTGTAAAGGAATTGCTTTACTCGAAAAATCCCTTCTTTGTTATTGCACTCACATTTAAATTATTTTTTCTCATTAAATTGTTATAATAGCCCATCTGCTCACCGGGTCTACAATTTTGCCATTATGTCATGTATTTTGCAGTCTCACAGGCTAGTTGCATTGATAGCTTGCGAAGGAAGAATGATACGTGCGTTGGAGCACGCAAGGGTTACCTTAAGTATGGAAGTAGAAAGTTCGCCCACAGTTTTGCACGTTTATGACGATAACGACATCAGATCGGTTCTCTTTGGTACAATAGATGGACGAATTGGACTGCTGGACATTGAAAAGTAATAGCTTTAAATAATTATTGGTCAACTAACTTCGCAATTTGATAGGACTCAATCATTTAGTAAATGGATTATTCAGGATAATCAATATACAAGTGCGATATCGTGCATGGACAGCTACAAAATGGTTCAAATTGAGCATAAAAATGTAATTGTCGGTCGACAAGATGGCAATATTGAAGTGTACGCAATAGATTTGAGTGACAAAGAAGCATCAGTATTGCTGTATACTACGGTATGTACACAAAATTTGATCCAAGTAAGGGTAACCGTAAAATATGTTTCAGAATTGCAACGAAAGTGTAACCTCGCTTTGTTGCGGCATTATTGGCGAGGCCAATTACGATGAGATTCTTGTAGCGACATACACGGGAAGAATTTTTGGACTTACAACTCAATCTGTAGAGCGTAACCTTAATACAGATTCAAAGAATTATTATTTTACAACCGAATCTGTCCAGAGAATCAGTAAACTTAAGTAAATATTATTTCAATGCTTCTACAGCGAACATGAAGTAGCCTTGTTTATGCCTTTTGACCTCTTAACTTTCATAGTTTTTTTCATCTGTGCACCCTACGTCCTGTTCACTGAGTTATACAGTGATGTTCATGTAGAAGTAGACATAGGGATTTCCTATGTCTACTTTTACATGGTAAAAAGTCTCCTGAAAGACGCCTAATTTTATGCAACCAAAGTAACTACCTACAACAAATGAGGATCTGCCTGTCATATTAATTAATTTGAATATGATCGCTTTGACTTCCCTATTCTAATTTCGATTCGTATGCGATGTATTCAACTAAAGGAAAAGTTGATATTTCCAATTGGTATAGTGCCGATAACAGTTAAAGATTAAGCGATTTATTTTCTGTGAAGCTAAAGCAACAATATTCAAATAATTAATATGACAGCCAGATCTTTATTTGTTTGAAGATGTTATTTTGGTTGCATAAAATTAGGAGTCTTTCAGGAGACTTTTTATCATGTAAAAGTAGAGATGGGAAATCCCTATGTCTACTTCTACATGACTATCACTGTATACATAGACTTACATTTTGCAATTTAGGAATGAAATTGAAGAATTACAAATAAAAGTCACTAAGGAACGTGAAAAATATCAAGCATCCACCCATTCATACATGGAGGAAATGTCCGCAATTCCACTGTTATCTATTAAAGATTCTGTGCGTAAAGTCTAGCCTCGACTATTTAATCATACCAATATGTTTTAGATGGTGCAGTCGAAACAAGACGCTTCTTACGTTCTCACCCTAGAAGTTCCCACAGCAATCGACAATGTTCTGTTACAAAGTAACGTTCCTGTGGACTTGCTTGATGTGGAAAAGAATTCTGCAGTTGTTAGCTTTAGTGAAGCGGAACCACATGTAATTATAGCCTCTTGTGTATGAATTGTCAGTACTAAGGATTGTAGAATGGGAATTTTCTATTGGCTACTTATCGCTGTCAAATTAACACGAATAGGTTGGAGTTAAAAATTAGAACAATTGAAGGGCAGTATGGCACCTTGCAAGCTTATGTGACCCCAATCATTCAGCCGAAGTGTTGTCAAGTTCGCCTTTTCGAAATTAAACCCTTATCAATGCATTTTAGAGTGCATTCAATTGAAAAGAAGAGGTACCTCCTTTTTAACACGCCAATCTTAATGAATTATTTTTAGGCCTTTTAATTTGTTAACAATAAAAGGTCCGTTCAGTTTGGCGGAGATACATTCATGGGTCTTTCAGTGTGTACCTGAAGTTCCAGAAAAACCTCAATTTATTGATGCGACAGTTTTGTTTTTTGAATCTACATTTCTAGGAACTCATCTCGAGTGCAACTTTCAGTAAGTTGTCGTTTTAGATGTGGTAAGGCTACAGGTTTCCGTTTTAGAAAAGGCGAGGCTAAGTTTGCATCTGATAACATTTCAACGATTTCGATTATTAGGGAGTTTTTGACCAAGGAAGCAACGAAAAAGAAAATAAAAATTGATATTAATGTGGGTAAGTATAACACATTTCACCCTTTTTTTTATGCAGTGTGGCTGGTAAGTATGTAAAAAAAATTGAGTGGTTGAGGGAGCCGAAGCGAATTTTTTTCTAAATAACTCATTGATCCAAAATGTTCCCTAAAAAGTCCCAAAGGCGGACCCTGGGAAAGGTATCGAAACGGCTGCGAATCGGATGTCAGCCTACAGAGATCTTGCGGGCAGCCGTGATCGGCTTCTAGCGAAGGATTTGAGGGAGGATTACGGCACACTGACACAGTAGCGCGCGAACGCAAGCAACAAAGCACAAATTAATTAGCGGTAGTTACGAGAAATCAAATGCAGGAAATACATACCACCCAAAGTTAATTATGTTCTCTGCTGTTTGAGCTAAAACTTTGCCACCTTCCCCTTCTCACTTGAGGAAAGCAGCAAAGCATACGCGCCCAATCAAAAATAAATAAAACTGCTACCCTGAACTGAAATAAAACTTCACAGGCTTGCAATGGGAATCTCTTTCACTTTCATTGGAGGCTTGAAAGTGAATGGTGATTACCAATTATAACTACGACATATAAGTAAAAGTATTTCCATAATATGTATTTTGTTTTTTGTTTAGTTATCAATGACGACAGTATTAATCACATATTAAAACTGATCGATCCAAAACTACAATCCCACGCGAAATTGTCTAAAGAAATATCTCTGCTTGACGCACTACACGAATTGGGCGTAAACGACACGGAAACTATAAAAGCGTTATCAACTGAGTACCAAAACTTACTGGAGAAAGACAAGGAGTTGAGGGCTGAGTTCAGCAATCAACCGGCCTACTTAGACCGCCTCTATGGTAAGTCTACTCTCATATGTCTAATAACGTATATCAACATTTTAGGAATCACCACGGATTTGTATATAGATTATTACAAATTCAAAGGTACGAGCGTTAAGTCGAAAATTCCCAAGTTGTTGACAATTTTGGATAATTATAACTATAAAAATTTGTTGCTCTTTTTTCGGCCCGAGTTTGAAACTTCAGATTCAATATAGTTTTCATACCCCACAACCATGGTGGTATTTGTTTTTGATATGTTAACGTTTACTGTATTAAAAAAAAACTATTAAATTAAACATTTCAACTTTTTGTTCTTGTCTTTTGGCCTTTTAAAAATAAATAAAATAACCAAATTATATTATTGTTAAATCATTTTTTGACTTTCTTTAATAGAATGCACCAATTCCCCTGATCATAGTATGTCTTAACAATTTCAACATTAACTACATTATTACATAATTCTTCTAACTCACCCTCATCAAAAACATGATAGAACCTTAAAAATAGTTTTTCCGATTGACTGTCGTCTTCCGTATTTCGTTCTTTCAATTTCCATGGCACCAACACATCTTGATGTTGAAATTGTGTTCGGTTCGTGTGTACTGGTAAAGTGATGTTAGCTTCAGTTACAGCAACCTTTTCTACTTTGTCTTCCAGTTTTTTGTCATCCTTCCTGTTTCTCCGATCTTGCTTAAGATAGCTCGATTTTTGCTCTTTGCATTGATCCTTAGCCCAGACATATATTAAAATTCTTCCGTTTATTCTTACAACTCGTACCAATTCTTCAATTGCTTTCAGTCTCCTTTCCTATACGTGAGCCAATAACTAAAAACCTTATGGTCTTATACTCACTGAGTTTGCCAGATGGTGAATTACTGCAATACTAATCGCTCCATCTACACTTTCATCTCTAAACGGAATATTGAGACAATTACTGGTAAACACATGTAGCCCTCTTTCTTGGCAAAGACTTATTAGAGATGTGCTTGAATCAAAACCCACCTGAAATTAATCTGCCCAATTTTCAATTTGTAACTGTTATTATTACCTTACCTTAAATATACGCTCGTTACACTTTAAATATTTTCCATTTCCACATCCAGCATCCATCAAAACAGAGCCTAATTCGAATGAATCAATAAAATTGACCACATTCGGCCATGGTTTGTGACGTGTATCACTAAAATGGTCCGCAATATTCTCGTATATTTCGTGAACGTGAGCTTTTTCTAACTGGGAGGCTGATCGATTAACGAGCTCATTGGCACTGCTAGTCAGGTATGTGTCGCATCTCTGGGTGAACCTACATTTACACTCGCCCATTAAAACTGTTCGAAAGGTAAACGAAACCCTGGTGGCACGTTGCAGAACTTTCAATCCGGATGGCAGGGAAACTATATCGGTTTTTCTCGGGGTGATACCATGGGTCCAATTGTACCTTGACTCGCCGGACATGATCAGCAATGATCTTCGTTTTAAGAAGATAGGTATGTGCATTCCATTGTCGTGACGGAATTCCATTATGATGGAAGAGGAGAGGGATAATGATAGAATGGGATCTTGAAATGCGCTGTGTGTGTCGATGTGAGGGGGAATTCCCTGGCCAGGTTGATACTTATTTATGGTAAGCTGATCGGGTTGAAAGTGATCCGAATAACCACGTTCCTTTAAACGAGCCCACAAAAAATCGCACTTTTCAGGAACACCGCCCGGTAAGGGTTTGTCTTTATCAACATTGTTGTTGTCATATCTGAACTCATAGCCGTAGTGCATTACTTGGCGATGCTTCAGCGTGGAACTATTGTCTTGGTCGTCGAAGCACGCCAAACCCAGCAATAATTCCTCTTCTTTTTCTGTAACGAAGTCCTCGATGATTATTAGTCCAGGTGGAAGATCATTATTACAATTAGAATTTTCCGGCAATTCTTGAACAAAGGATAATAGCAACGGTTTGCCATCTTGGGCAAGATTTAATTTTCCATTAATACTTTCATATGCCCGTGCAGCACCATCTATCGTTTTAAATGAAATGAACGCGCAAGACTTTCCCGTCATCATCTTGATCTTTTCCAAAGGGCCATATTCACCGAAATGTTGAAATATTTCGTCTTCAGAGAGTCCATTCACGAGTCCCGAGTTACATATCACCAAGTTCTGCAACAAATGCAAAGTTTAAACCAGCCCTGCCTCTCCCCCACTCAATGAATTTGATTATCCTTTGGGGCAAGCGTTTTTAGGTTCACAGCCAGTTTCTCTCAATAAAAGATAGGGCCCTGTTTAGCCTAAGCCGGGAATGTCTCGCAGGTCCTGCACTCTTAAATTGGCTAAACGCGTTGGCCGCCCATCTCAGAGATTCCTGCTTCCAGGAAACGTGAGAGCCTCACCCGCGGTAGACGATATTGGCCGCATGGAAGCCTCGATGTCCCAACCCCCCTCATTTGATTTGAACAAATTAAAAAAAAAACTCGTCACTCTTGGACCTCTATACAAGACACTCTTCAGAGATTTTCAATACAAAGTTTCATTTGGGAGAAATTACCATCAATTTTATTTTTTTATATGACCCATAAAAAAGTACAATATGTCGTACTATATTGTGTAGCATTTTTTATTAAGAATGCAACCATGTACGGGGACACCAAAAAACAAGAGTTTAAAACTGTTGGTTTCAAAAGGATGGTGCACCCGCGCACAACGCTCTAACCGTGCGAGAATAACTACACATATTTTCCCGGAAAATTGAAAATTTGACCGATAGGCATTTTCGCACGATTCATGGTGCCTTTCTTAGAGAGGCTAGAGATGTGCCCAGAGAAAAAGGCGCATTCAATTCGGAAATTGTAGAAATAAGCGTATTCCGTAGTCCAAAGCCCTATACTATCCTTAACGCTACGTTATTGTAGTTATCTATATGGGTAAAATGGGTTCAGGTGTAATTAGTGTGGAAATCAATGACCTTGTAACAGGTGCGAGTAGTACCTTAGTGTAAAGACACTATGGTAGTACCTACCTTAAACATAAACTTGAACTAATTTGTGCTTATATTGTACATTGTGGGGCGATAAGGACTTCTTTTTCGTTTCGTTTTGTAGGTTCTAGTAGCCCTGGGGTAGTGAATGTAGGAGGTGGGCGTGGGTGTTGTGTGAGTAGGTTGTTGGTGGACGAAGAATTTTATGGACTTTTATTCTACAGGATTATACGATTATTATTTTTTTAAATTGCTTATCCACATCTGCGAACCCAACACGTGGACCAAAGGGGGCCGAGTTCGTATGAAGCCTCGTATGAAGCACTCTCCAGCTTTGGAACCGGTTTGAGGGGAGAGGATCCAGGAGTACGTACGCTGTTGAAATTCCTTGATTTTGAAGGGTAGGTTCAAATTAAGAGGTGGTTTCTCTTTTATTGTGAGGGAAATATTGAATCATTGCACAACAATGTCAATGGCATCAGCTTTTCGTTTTATTACCTAATAAATGTCAGTTTACATTGGAGAGTAGAACTGGGTAATTGACTAACCGAAGTAAAATGAAAACGGAACAAAATTATATTACATTACGAACTGGGAATTACCGACCAGAGGTAGGTGACTAGTGACTAATTAGGTAATTTAATTAAGAACTCAGTGGCGTGGCGGTCGCATTGAAATTAATTAAGGGAACATGGGATAAACCTTGGATTTTAAATTATTTCAATGATTTTGAACAAAAAAGGCGGCTAAAATATACCCTCTCGAAAACGTAAGGGTACGGCACTGACGTAATCACACAATGCTCAATATCAGTTACGCCACTGGCGAAAATTTAATTTTGCTAAGGGATAAAAACTCTGATAGAAATCTTTGTCAATTTCTGACGAATTACCAGATGAATATTTGGAAAGCAGTGATGTTGAGTAACTTGTGTTTACAAGCCGAACAATTGATTATTTACAATTTGAAAATACAGTTATATACAACTACCAACCGTCGAAACGAAAAAGTTACTGCTTACCTTCGTAACGTTATTAGTGCATGTGATACCAGTTTGTTTTTCGACAACATGTTGTGATTTTTTCATTTTTCTGTCTAATTTTCTTCCCTGCTTACGCGAATGTTCGTTTTGCATTATTAAACCGAATTTGGAACGATACAATTTTGCACACAAACTTTGAAATCGGCAGAACTTAACCTAGGATTGTGACGTTGCGCAGTACGAAAAACAAAGGCGGACTGACGCAGCTGTGGAGAGGTTAGTAGTTTAGAAAGAAAATGGCAGGAACGTTGAACCCCGAAATATGGAAAAATTGGGAGAAAAGCGGTAAAAGTGAATTGTAAGTAGCTAACATTTACCTTAGCTATCAATCTCCCATTCATAACTTCTAATCTTCCAGCATGAAACTTTTTCTTCAATTATGCAAAGATAATACAAAAAGTCCAATGTTTGATAAAAGTGGAAAGATCCAAAACATCACGCATAATCTCAATATGTTGGTAATCAACGGCGTTCACGGGACAATCAAAAAGGAATGGGTCATAAGTGCTTTACAGGAATTGGCAGTACGCAATGTTGACGAGGTACCGTAACAATTTTTAAGCGACTATCTTTCAGGCTTTGCACAGTGATAACGCTGCTATAATATGCGACGTTTTAAACGTCGCCGATGCCGAAACGTCCGTGTTTGAGAATCCAGACGATCCTAAAGAGCGTAACAGTTTGGGTTACATTATTCGAGAGTGCGAGAAGGTATCGTTGAATTTGTACTCCTTGTGACTTACCTTTTTTTTGTAGTTTTTGTCTGATAAATTACTTAAAGAACGGCTGGAAATTGACACTTTGCAAGAAGTCGGAGTTTTAAAGACACGGAATTTTTACACCAAATTTATAAAAATCAAAACGAAACTTTAGTAAGTTCTCTTGGTAGCGATATAGTTCGAACAAAAAGCGCTTGGGATTTTTGAAATTTTTATGTAATGTGTCATTAACCTTAATTTACCTGTGATTATGGGAAGTTGATTGCTTTTACAGGACTAGTTTCCTTGAAAAAAGCTATTGCTTAATTTAGGCACATTCAGCGGAAAATTGTTCTGTGTTCGGTTTATTAATTTACAGCTTAATACTAAAAGCAGGTCATTAAGTTAATTCACATCTCTGTAATAAGTAAGTGCTGAATTTACGATTACTAAAAAAACATGCCTTATAAAATGGGGTGGTTTTTAAGTCTGCAACTTTGCAGTGTTAAAAATTGGAACTATTTTATTCACTGTCTTGAGCATTCTTAGACTGTGAACATTTTTCAGAAAATTGTTGAAAGACTTACATTTTTTTCATTAGCTCAGCAATCCTCATTACTAAATGGCATTCCTATACATTTGAAATGGTAAGCATTATGACACAAAATGGGTAAGTCATCAAATTGATATTACTTATTTGCCCAGATATACAAAGCTTTCGTTTTAAAATGAGCCACTAATTTCATTTTGATAAAAAAGCCAAACATTGCAAAAACATGTCCATTTGGATAGCTAGGGGGAAGTTTATTTGAAGATATGTTTACCTTAGCACTTTAAAATTACAATAATTTCTAGTAGTAATCAGAAAAGGCACTATATTTTGTGGGTCAATTGCGCTACGAAATACGCTTAGCAGTTATACATAATCTATTCTTTTTTCCATATGAGTATTTCTTCTCAAGGATAAAATGTGGTAATTTACACTGAATTTGGCTATTAATTAATTGAGAGCAGTTTTTCTAACTAGGGTTTTTACCTGAACTAATGTCACTAATGGCCGTTTGCACCGAAAAAATTTAAGCGGAACTTAGCTTAAGCGTAGCTTAAAATCCATGGCAACGATTATTGAAACAATGGTTGCTATGGATTTTAAGCTACTCTTAAGCTAAGCTCCGCTTAAATTTGTCGGTGCAAACGGGCATAAGGGTATCATGGTTGTAGTCCAAACTAACTATTGTTAGCTTGGAATGTACTCGGGAATATATTCCTTTAGCAATCTCTCTCACATTTTACCAAATACATTCCAACCCAACAATATCTCTTAAAATAAACAATTACACTTTTAGAGCTAACTAAACAAAGCAAATTTGTGAAAAATAAAATAAAAAATAAATAATAATAATAATAATAGTTGATTTTATTCCCATACCTCGTATTATACATAATATGCATTTATTACATTATAGTACTATAAAAAAGTGTATATCTACAAGAAAAAACAAGAAGAGAAAAGAGCGAGAAGAAAGCGAATTTTTAACATAAAAAAAATGTAAGAGAGAAATGGAATCTCCATGCACTAAGCTTACAGCCCTGAGTTAAGTGTGGCTTTAGTTAATAATAATAATTCTATTCTATAAATCGAACCCATTTTATATGGGGGCATCCTGAGGTAAAGACTTGCAAAAAAAGCGAAACATTAAAAAATGCTGTCAGTTGGTTTTTAATTCTAAATGCATTTTATTCAATCTAAGAGTGCATGGAGTTTGTATAATGTAGTGTTGTTATTGTAATAGTGTGTTATATACATGGCCTATGATCCGCAAAATTATTAAGCGGCAGAGCAAAGCGATGCAAGCTTTATAGGGAAGTCAATGGTGTCCATCTGTCTGTCCGTGAACACGATCAAACGCTTGAACCGATTTGGTTCAAACTTTGCACAGTTGACCTATATGCCACAAGTAATAAGCCTATTGGTCAAATCCAATGACCCCGTAGCACACTGAGGTGCTCTGCCGTTTTTTTAGATGCTCTTTAGGGGTTTTTTAAATGTAATGCTTATAAGTATTATCGAGAGTATTATACTTGTAGTGTTTGTGAACCTACTGTAATCTTATTTTACTTTACGTATCCCATATTTTCTATGTAAAGCATGTTAGACAAATAAATATCATTATTATTTTTTACCGTTTAAGGTAGGGAAAATAAAAACAAAATTTGGCATTTGAAGTTTCTCCGTTATATCTCAGTTATTCTTAAAGGTTTTTCAAAAATTTCAAATTCGTTTTTTAGTCACAAAATGGGACAACTTTGCCCCCATTGAACTTATACTGTATCTTGAGCCACTAATTGGAACCATCTTGTAGTTTTTTCTCAAAGTTAGTGAAAATAAGTGGGAGTCAAAATATACTGAGAGACCCTGTCAATAATTAAATGTTTATAAAGCAATCAGCTTCCCAAGTGCCCAACGTTAAAGTCATGTTCATTACATCACATGACCATGGGATTAAATTGGGCAAATAATAATTTTGAGCACTTAAAACTTGATTATTTGTGAAGCAAAAAATAATTATTTGAGGGGTGCATATAATATTTAAGGAAAGATATTTACCATTCACATTAATTTACATATTTTTTTAGTTATAAGCAACGTAAATTCAATTTGTTCCGAGAGGAAAGCGAGGGATTTTCAAAACTAGTTACCGAACTAAATCAAGATTTCAAAAAAAGTATGGCATGCAAAACATTATTAGATATCGTCCAGTCTTTAATAGGTAAGTGTGTTGTTGCTTTACACCTTTTACTCAAAATTTTTTTTGTAGGTTGCTTCAATTTGGATCCGAATCGTGTGCTAGATGTAATATTTGAAAGTTTTGAAAACAAACCGATGGACACCAGATTATTTATACCGTTAATTAACTCGTACATGAACGATCATAAAGTTATTGCGGAAGTGTCCGGTTCCAAATATTTGTTTCTTAGAAATAGTTCGGATTCTCATGTACCCAAGTCACTGTTTGTATTAACAGCGCATCTTTTACAACATGGATTAATTAAACTTAATGATATTTACCCGTGGGTAAGTGTACTTAACTCTGAGACATCATTAACCTATCCATAAAACAACAGAGCTATTGTGGCGCACAAAAACGGCAATGGTTTTTGAGATTTCTTTTATTGTCTTCATTGTGTAGAAAAAAATCTTATTTTTTTAATCAATTCCTATTACCAATTTGTCATTTTTTAGCTCACACCAGAGGATAAGGTGATGCAGAAAGATTGGGACAGTGATATGAAAAGTGCAAGGGAATACATGCAATCGCTTCAGGTGGTCTCGCTAAATCCTTCCAAAGATGATGCAATCGAAGAAAAAGATAACAGCACCGACCAATATAACAACAACCAAAAGTTGGGTTTATGCGAGGCGTTGTTAGAAATCGGGGATTGGGAGAACGCACAACTGATTATTAATCGATTACCCGAACATTTTGCCATGGATTATCAACCGGCCGCCTTAGCTCTGTGTAGTTTACTTCACTACATTATCGAGCCGGTGTATAGAGCGTAAGTGCTTTTTGTTTGCGAGCGGGTTTAATTTGTTCAAATTTAGGAATTATAAACTGGGAAATAAACTAAAGGGAAGAGTTGTTCCACCACATAAAAATCCATTGGCGCCGAAACCGGTGCATACATTTTTAGACCTGCGAAAAGTAGCCATTCCCATGTTGCTTACGTTAGGACCATCGCTACGTTATGATCCATTGCTACTGTATAAAGTAATAAGACTGGCAAAAGCCGCAATGAGTTCTTATGGTATTGATACGTCGTCCACTCAGCCTCCCGATGGGGACACATTATATTACGACATCCTTACGATACTCGACACCACAATTTTGCCCTCCCTTTCTTATTTAGAGTGTAACTGTTGTGTTGCCGAAACCGTTTGGAATATCATCAAACTGTATCCATATCACGTTCGTTATTGCTTGTACGGACAGTGGAAGAACGAAACCTACGCTTTGTATCCAGATCTGATTCGAAGGCGGGCAGATGCGGAGAAGTCACTAAAAAACACGATGAAACGTGTCAGTAAAGAAAATCTTAAACACACCGGTAGAAGTATTGGAAAGCTAACGCATAGCTCTCCGGGATATTTATTTGATTACATTCTTGTTCAAGTGCAAGTTTACGATAATTTAATTTATCCGGTAGTTGACTCTTTAAAATATCTGACTAGCCTATCGTACGACGTTCTGGGTTATTGCTTGGTTGAAACTTTATCAAATGCCGAGAAAAAGAGAGTTAAGCACGACAGCACCTCGATCTCTCATTGGTTGCAGAGTTTATCCTGTTTTAGTGGTGCAATCTTTAAGAAGTATAATATTGAACTTACCGGTTTATTGCAGTATGTGGCCAATCAATTGAAAGCTCAAAAGAGGTGAGTAGTGGTCAACTAACATTGCCATCATTGTTACGTGGTCATTTGCAGTTTGGATCTTTTGATTTTGAAGGAAATTGTTCAAAAAATGGCAGGTGTTGAATCTGCAGAGGAGTTGACAATGGACCAGCTTAATGCCATGGCTGGTGGTGAACTATTGAAATCAGAGGTAGGTGAATGCAAAAAAAAGACTGGAAATGATTGGCAATATCCTATAAGAGAAAATTTGTTGAAATCAAGGGAATCTGTGCTAGGAGAAAACTCGATCTAATACATTTGTTTGTGTTTCCTTTTTTGATTTTGTAAAAAATGATTTATGGCCGTTTGCACTGACGAATTTACGCCGAGCTTAGCTTAGCATGGATTTTAACCGCGTAAGGTTCGATTTTTTAGAAAATACGGTTTGAAAAAAACTTAACTAACAAAAAAAAATGAATTTTTATTTTAGCGCATGCGCAATCACGAGTTAACTCGGGCGCCAAAGAAAAGGTTGTATTATAACAAAAACTTACATACTACACACATTAAATCTCAGAAACTGTGTGGTAGACCGGAAACATGGACTCACGCATAGGGCTGCGTCACAATCTGGGCAGTAATATCTTGATTCACGCCTTATCATCTTCCCACGTGCATCTCAAATTCTACTACAGATCATACACTGTCCATGTGAATGCCATGTACAGTGGAAAGTAAGCTGACGTCTTTTTTTATCTCGCCATTTCATGACACTAACCTTGCCACGCCGAAATCCCATGATTTCACCCCGCTCGAACTTTATTCAACGCAAGCGCGAGTCGCTTGTACGCGCATACTCGGGCATGCACATAAATAGCATTACTATACAGGGTGGTGACTTGCGTAACGCATCATAGGGATTTCAATGTAAAATTCATAACATGCGATTATTGGCTCCCCAAATTATTTTAGAGCAAAAATGTATTGAGGTTTTTTGTAGAAAAATTTTTTTTACGTCAATCAACCATATTAGTTTTCAATTTTTTTTATAATACAGACGGAAAATTGGGAAAATACAACCCGCATCTTTTTCAATAATCTGTGATGGCATGGAATTTTATAATACAAAAACTACGCCAATATCCGTCATGGCATGGAATGTCTGCTATAAAACAAATCAAATTCTATCAAAAAGTATTATATTTAGAACAGCGAATGCAACATAAAGAAAGACCAAATTACTAAAAACGGTTTCGTAATATAACAATTTACACTAAATGTTCGACTAAGTCACCATTAACTGCAATACAGTAACCAAGTCGATTATAAAATTCATTTCGAACTGCTGCTAATTGATAACTGGATATCTTTTTGTTAGAGGAATCTTGACTAGGCATGGGAATTTTTTTTTTTATATCTCGATAGGTATCGATAGTTATCGATATATCGAATAACAATAGGTAGAGCTAAAAAATCGATATATCGATAACTATCGATATATCGATACCTATCGATATGTCGATAATTATTGATATATCGATATGTCGATAACTTTTGTAATGTAATTCTCCATTTTTGGGGTTCGTTGAGAATTTGCTTTAATATATAAAAAAAAGGAACCACAATTGTTTATTGTTTCTAAAGCGATCCATTTCGGGTTTAACCACCCATCATCAGGCTATGCTAAAAATATATCACATGAAATTTGATGTTGAACACAGAAATTAAAAATTATTACCGTCAATTGAAATTATATAAATGCAGCGACATTGAGTTGAATAAAATTGGATAAAAAATATTAAAATTCGTCGATAACTATTGATATATCGATAACTATTGGTACGATAAAATTATGTTATTGTTGAGATTTCAACGAGCGCTACTATTTTTATTAATAAAATCCATTTTTGGGTTTACTCTCGTGTAAATTTACTATGTTTAGTTGCTCGACGTTTCGGAAACTTAACTTTGCTCCCTTTCTCAAGAGAAGCGCTACGTCACATCATCATCCATGCCAAATAAACGCAGTAATAAAATCTTTAGAAAATAGATCTTTTCGTCTTACTTGCTCAAAAAAGAAGCACTTCAAAAACTTGAACAAAATGTTGCATCAAAATGGCTACTCTTTAGGTAAAATAAAGAAGACAATCAAAGGGTGTAATCATGGCCTATGTATCGGTATCTGATTGATGGTTACAGAGGACCAGTCACAAAAAAACAGAAAAAGCTAAGAACACTTCAAATTTAGATATACAGTTTCAAATGATTGACATTTACGAAATCTAACAAAAAACTCTTGATAAAGGTAGCAACGAAACGTCGAGTAACTATTAATAGTCACTTTACACGAGAATAAACCGGAAAATGGATTTTATTAATGAAACTCGATAAGATAACTATCCCTGTCGATAACTATCGATACGTCGAATATTTCTCTCAAATGAGGCGTGCAATTACCGCTTAATTACAGCGGTAATTGCATTGTAGAAAGCTAAAGAGCCCTGCGATAATTGCATAGTTAATATGGTAACTCCATTAAAGTTGCAAGAACTGCATTCGGTTATTGTCATATTTTGTTAAAAGAGCCCTCTTGTCTTGTCGGGCTCTTTCGCCAAAATATAAAAGTAAACTCATGCAGTTTTTAGACACGCTTTCAAAAAAATTATCGGTAATATTATATCGATACCTACATATTAAAAACTATCACCATAATGAGAACTATCGATATAGCGACAGTTATCGATCTTTCGATAGTTGTCGGTGTATCGATAATTATCGGCATATCGATAAGTAAAATATATCGATAGGTAAGTACCCGATACTTATATCGATAGGGGTGAAAACAGTTATCGCCCATCCCTAGCTATCGACATATCGATAACTATCGATATATCGAGAACTATCGAAATATCGATAACTATCGATATGTTGATAGGTATCGATAATCATCGATATTTCGATAATTATCGGCATATCGATAAGTAAAATATATCGCTAGGTAAGTACCCGATACTTATCAATAGGTGAAAACAGTTATCGCCCATCCCTAATCTTGACATAAGCGCCAACTCGAGTATCGTTAAGCTACGCTTAAGCTAAGCTCCACATAAATTTGTTGGTGCAAACGGCCATTAATAGTGTAGAAATTTAGTAAAAGGTAAGTAAAAGGTGTCTGATTTTAGATAAGAGCCATTTGGCAGTTAGGTAAGAGGTACTTTTTTTACGCAATTTGATTTGACATCTGATGATGTGCCGTTGAAGTTGGAAGATGGAGGTACGAACTGCCAACTTAGCGATGAAAAGTTACCAAAAACAATGACTTTCATTGTAACACTGTTTTTGCCAAAAAAAGTTGTACAATATTCTCATTGTATCACAGAAATTAAAAATAGTTATTTGTTTTATTAGTACAAAAAATGTCAGTTTTCGGGACGAGGAAGATAGTTGCTGGACGACGCGTTAGCTGAGCCCAGCAACCTTCTGAGTCCCGAAAACGAATTTTTTGTATGAATAAAACAAAATTTTTTCTCCAACCCCCTTTACTTTAAATTATATTCGAATTTAGATTTAGTTCACAGTTTCTACTAGTTTGAGAACTTCTGCTTTCTTGTCCCACGTGTCATGCCACTCTAGTTTTTAGGTTAACTTATAACCTATTCGTTCTTACTTCTCACCTCTCGCGACTTTGTAGGGAGCAAATCTAAGGTAGCATGTTCTGCCGTTTCTATAATCTCTGGCGGAGTGCAATCCATGTCGCTATCAGTTTCAGTCATTTCTATTGTATACAAAATTAATATTGTTATATTTTGTATTGAAATAAAAAACTTACCATACAGTCTTTTAATTAAAATTAATTGCAATTAACTTTTTCAAATTTTGAATTCAAAATGACAGATAATAGTGCATTGGGTCTGAAGTAGATGGCGTTACGCGCGACGGCGGGTTGTATACGTATTAAAATTATGTTACACATGGTTTAAATAAAAATAGCGAGCGTAAATCATTTTCAATACATGTAGATACGTATAGGTAACAGCATTTGCATTGAATGTGCAAAAATATTTGATTTGTATGTATAGAAATATCTTACAACCTCCAATGTAAAACGATGTCAATGTGACATATCTCCGTGATTGTAATTTTTTAATTGGCGAACTTTCGAGGTCAATTTCTTTTTGGTACTAGGACCAAAAGTATCCACTTTTTGTACAGTTGCCATGGTGATTGCGATTAATCCGCAAAATGCCAATTTTACGTAGCGAACACTGTCACAAAATAGCATCTTATTCAGGTGGTTGGAGAAAAAGATCTTTGTTTGCATGCTCCTTGGATCCACCTCTGCATATCATAGAGGTGCATGAGTCATTGGCATGCTATATAACGGTACCTCCACAAACAGCTAATGTTTAAAAGTTGAAACTTCTTAAACTAGCAATTTTGTGGGGAACAGCTCTACTTGTGAATAACATTAGTTATTTATTACTTTATTAGTGTATATTTCATGTCGACTTACTTTTGATTATTTACAGGCCGGGTACTTTAGTCAAGTCAGAAATACGAAAAAATCCTCAATCCGTTTAAAAGATGCCATGGCTGATCAAAACTTGGCAGTTACTCTTTGCCTATTAATGGCTCAACAGAAATATTGTGCGGTTTATCGAGAAACGCAGCAAAGTCACTTGAAACTAGTTGGAAATTTGGCTGACCAATGCCAAGACACCCTAGTTCAGTTCGGTACATTCCTAGGATCGACATTATCTGTAGATGAATACACAAATAAATTACCATCAATACAAAGTATGTTATTGGACTATCATATCCCGTATGAAGTTGCATTCTTTCTGGCAAGACCAATGTTAAACCATTCAATAAATGTAAGCATTAATTTGAAAATGTATATCTTGCTAACGCTTTGTTACAGATCAAGTATGACCAATTAAGGAAATCAGATTCGAATTACAAAAAATTATCGACTCAAGCTAAGCATCAAAAGTATTTCGACGCTGTAACGGAAATAATGGAGCCTGTTTTTAAGTCAATCGTCCCACTTCATCCCCCCAAAGTGTGGGAAGACATTTCCCCACAATTCCTCACCACATTTTGGTCACTGACTATGTTTGACTTATTCGTCCCCGACGAGACATATCAGCAGGTTATTTCGAAAATTAAGCAGCAATCCTTGCAAATCGCCGACACTAATACCAGCAAGGGAAAGAAGGATTTGGAACGATACATGACTCTCATGGAAAAGGTTCAGGACGAGAAGAAGAAACAGCACGAGCACGTTGACAAAGTATTGTACAGATTAAATCAAGAAAAGGACACGTGGTTTCTGTCGAGATCGGTGAAGGCGGCGAAAAATGAAACCATAACTCGATTTTTGCAACTCTGTTTGTTCCCGAGGTGTACTTTTACGCCGATTGATGCAGTGTATTGTGCCAAATTTGTCCATACAATACATAGCTTGAAGACACCCAACTTTTCTACTCTTCTGTGTTATGATAGGGTAAGTATGGTACACTGGATATAATTAAATTTAAAAATCAGACTAGAAGATAAAAGAGTATTCCTCATGCGGAAGATGCATGCTTCCATCTTTCACAGCAAACTGATTTGGGGCATTAACGGAATATCCACTAAAGGAGGAAGGGTTCCCCCTCCCCTCTTCTTTCTTACCGGGAATCTACAGTTCTATGGAGCAGCAGGCAGTTTGCATTTGGGTGTTCATCCAATAGCTAATTTGATGTTGTTTTGAGCACACTAAACGTCTTCTGTTAGGAATCATTTTGAGTACCTTAAACAGGTCACTATGCAGAGGGGTTGATAGAGGCTTCACGTTGTAAGTCAACTTGGTTTCGGGCAGCCAACTGCACTCTCGGGATTAAAACACATCTTTCATCCCTTGGTACTATAATGTACACAGTTGGCAGCACTTGCGATCAGAGGCACGTGTAAAGAACCCTTAACACTATCGAATGAGTCCATAATGCTGGCTGTCACTTACCAACAGATGTAGAAATGTGATGAACATGCGCGAGGCACCATCCGGAACTCTGAAGACGAAAAATGTCAAATGACCCTTACTTAAAAAAATGCCTCCTAAGCGTTTAAAAAATACCCATTAGAGCAGTGTTTCTCAAACTTTTTTGTCTGGTGGCACACTAAAATTATTAAACAAAATTCGCGGCACCCCTAATATTTTTTTGCTTTTTTACAGTTAGTAAAGAGATGAAGGATGAGAAGTCTACAAAAAAAATTTCTAAACACAAAAGCATTTAAAACTAGTTGTCAGGTAAGCTCCTGACTTGACTTTTCGACTACTTTTAATAGTCATTGCAATTATCTTGCCCATAGTATAACATTTAGAAAATGCCCTCTAGCGCCTTTATTTTGAACCCGACGCAAAAAGTGTAGAAGCCTTTTTTGTAGACCTCATCAAGACACATCTTTTTTGTAATTGACATTTTTCACTCTGATGCTTACTTTTAGAGAAAAATGAAATTTAGAAAAATAAAATAGTTTAATTTTTCAATTCAAAACTTCTCAAAAACAAAGGAACTCACAACAAAATTGTAATGAACTTTTTTGAAGAGTTTTTGAAGCCATTTTGGGCAGTGTATGCGAGAAAAAATTTTGTAAGCCGTTATGACTTATAAAATGTTGACACCCTCAACAACCTTGAAGATGGTTACGGATCAAAACCAAAATAGGACGTTTTCAATTCCCCATACCACCCCATATGCACCCCAAATATAAGTTATAAGGTTGAGAAGGTCTGATGTAATGCAATACCAACATATGATTAATGAATTATAAACCATAGAGATTATATATATTTATATATAAAATAAAAACTAAAAAACGGAATTGTAATAAAAAACGAATATTCATTTTTTATAATTATTTTAATTCCTTTTTTAATTTATGTAATTTTAAGCTTAGCTTTGAGAACCACTGCATTAGAGACACTTTTATTTGTCTTTCAAGAATATCTTGTTTGCATGCTCCTTGGATCCACCTCTGCATATCATAGAGGTGCATGAGTCATTGGCATGCTATATAACGGTACCTCCACAAATAGTGAATGTTTAAAAACTTAATTTCTTAAACTAGCAATTTTGTGGGGAACAGCTTTCTTTGCGAATGGTAATAGAGTAAAGCACTATGTGTAATTCCTAAACTTCAGATTCTTACAGTGAATTTAATAAATTATTGTTCATTGATTTATGTAATCCAATTATGTTAAATATCTTTTCTGTGGTTTATGAAGTTTACTCACTCCTTGTAACACCAAACACACTAAAAAAAGATATCTCTCATATAACGCAATAGTAAAACCAGACTGAGACCAAGTCAGATTTGGAGAAAGCTAAAAGCTGAAGTGTCGTCATTGTCCAAAACCTTGTTGGTTTTAATTAACTATTTCCTCATGTCAAAATTACCAAACAACATTTTTCAATTAATGTACATCCTATGCACTTGTAGAAAATTGGGGAGCTTAGAGTGCCCCACATCACTTGTTCCTGTAATTTTTTTAAGGTTGGCAGTGGCTCGACAATTTAACTATCAAATATTCAGCTTCCATTACTTTTCTATTATTTTGTTTCTTTTTACATCTTTTTGGTTCCGCTGATATTAATATGGTTTTGGTTTTATCAGTTGAAATCATCATGGAGGTCTGTACTGTTTGATTAATCTTTTCCTTGGTGGTCATCCTCATTTTTCGCTATTATTATGGCATCGTCGGTGTAACATATTATTTGAATTTCCTTTTCTCCCATTCTATATCCTTTTCTTTTTTTTTACTTTCTTTATGATTTCGTCCATAATTAGATAAACTATTAACGGGCTCAACGAATCTCTTTGTCACTCTAAGTAAATACCTCTTCTAAACTGTTTGATTGGCGTTGAAAATTGTTTCTATTTGTTGATGTGTATGCAAAAGCATCTTTGGGCCAATATTTAGCACTTTTTCCACCAAATATAACTTATAAACCATATAAAAATACAGGTCAAGTTTGGCTTAGCTTTATATCAAAGGTAATATGCTGAAATCTAGGGCCAGATTCAGGATTTGTAGGCTCCTAGGCCGGGTAATTGTCGGTTTTACTGGGGCGTGGCGCTCATGTTGGTTTAGGGTGGTTCAATGGTGGGTAGGGGTGCGAAATGTTGATAATTTGGGTATTAGTCAACGTATTTCATGAATGAAGTCATAATTTGTACATTGACATGAGTTAAGTACATGCTTCGACCACTGCTCATGGTCTACACTACTCCTTCCTTCATTACTTAATTCCTAATTGATATAAAAGTTGCGTACATGGTATTCTACTTCTATAATTAATTATCTGTACAGGGTGGTCATTGGTGCCTATCGCCATTACGGGGTAACAGTAACTGTAACAGTACTAAATTGATTGCCCCTAAATCGTCAACTGTTATTTAAGTTTCGGTTTTCTGTTACAGTTGTTTTGTGACGTGACCTATTCTATTACATCATGTACAGAAAACGAAGCAATCCGTTACGGTCGCTTTCTTTGCGCGATGCTCGAGACCGTTATGCGTTGGCAGAAATCGAAGGAAAATTTCGACAGGGAATGCGCCAATTATCCAGGATTTGTTACGAAATTTCGCGTTAGTAACCAATGTAACGACAGCATGGATCACGTCGGCTACGAGAACTATCGACACGTCTGTCATAAGTGGCACTTTAAATTAGCCAAGGCCATGATGATATGCTTGGACTCGAAAGATTTTGTACAAATTCGCAATGCGCTGATTATACTTATCAAGATCATTCCCCACTTTCCTGTTCTTTTGAAATTAAGCCAGATTATAGAGAAGAGGGTTGAGAAAGTGAAGGATGAGGAGAAGAACCAACGGCAGGATTTGTACACGTTAGCTATTAGTTATCACGGGCAGTTAAAGCAGAGAATTGCTTCAGGACATATGTTGAAGGAAAGCGAGTTTCATGTGACAGAAAAAGAAAAGGTAGGCTGATTTTGTAGTTTGACACTGTGGCTTCATTGAATTTTTTTCAGGCGGCAAAATCCCATGATGCCGCTAAGCATGATGTAAATACTTCATCTAAACATAATGGGGATGCTCGAGGTAAGCTGATTGGTCATATTCACAAAAATGCTAAGTGAATGCTTTAGATCAAGCCGATACGTCGAAAGAATCTGCAAAAGATGTGAAGGAAAAGCCGGAAATCAAAAGGAGCAGGCAGTCATCTGAAGATACTAAGCCGTTGCCAAAAGTACCAACGTCAGATATAAATAAGTAAGATCCATCACTTGTCCGCTTCTTAAATTATTTCTTTGCCTCAACAGCTCCAAAGATAAATTAGCCGAGAAAGAAAAACAACCCAAAGAAAGTCGAATAGACAAGGATCTTAGAAAAGAGGAAAAGCGAGACGACCTAGAGCGTGATAAAGACCGTGACCGACGACGAGAGCGGAAAGAGGAAAAATTAATAGGTAAAGAAGATAGGGTATACAGGGTAAGTTTCATACGGTGCCTGCTAATCCGAAAATAACCCGTGGGAATTGTAGGACGAACGATATATTGAAATGTTAAGTCCCAAAGACGATGTAAGATATTCGAGCGAACGCGATCGATATTATGAAGATCGAGGTGCCCACTATCTTAGAGAAGTTCGTGACGAACGCGAAATTAGTTTCGGAAATAATGGTTCAAATTTGAGACGCAGTCAGGAACCACCCGAACCCGATAGAGGTAACTATTACATTTTTATCTCTCCAGTCCGATCGCGTTAGTTCAAACAAATTAAATAATTACTTTGAATATCTTTGTAACTAGATTAATGGCGAAAAAAAGTAAAAAAAATTGATTTGGCTCAAAGGACCAATATCTTGAAGCGCAAATTTTATCGTATAGGTGGGGAAAAATGTTTCGGCTTTTAAGTCTACGGTAGGGTAGGTTTATTTTGAACAAATTTTGCCAAAAATGTGGTGTTTTGCGTTTATATCTTCAGTTAAAAGCTTTAATTAGAATACCATGACGGAGAAAATAATTTTTTTTTAATTTAAAAAATATGCTAAAAACTACAATAGCTCAGTTTGGCGGTTTTTCATAAAATCATTTGTTACAGAACTAAAAAGAAGAAAAATGGAGGGTTCTACTTCGAAGGTTAGTATTGGGGTCAGATAACATCGGAGTGAGATAGTTTCAGGGCCTTCCCCACACTTCGCCTGGTACATTTCAACGTTCAGATGTTCAGTTTGGGAGATTGGGCTGAGAAGTCAACCTATTTTATTTGAAATACGTGTTTTAGTGTGCGGTAAAATTTAAGTGTTTTAAAAAAGTGAACTTTCCTTCGTTCGTCTACCCGAGGACATCAGTTTAAGTTTCTATTTTGCGCGTTCATCGAGAGCTTTCGTTTTGTTTTAATTTGGAATGAAGATTAATTTGACAAGATTGTCGCCGCAATTCTGGTTACTGAAAGAATCAATTTTAAGTTAATGGCATATTTTCCATTGTTCCCAATTATAGAAATGATGTTAAGTTATTTTTGTCACTGATATCAGCATCAACCACTGTCCAAATCAAAATACCAATATCGAGATGAAATGTATTTAATTAATCGAACAAAACTACAGCAAGTAAATTAAAGATCTTGGATAGAACAATAAATGAAGCTGCACTGCCAAAAAGAATTTGAAGATATCTGCTTGAAATGAAGATCCGTTCATCACTTGAAGAAGAAATCGCTGCGGCCCAGGATGAAGAACCTTCCTAAGTGTTTATAACAAAATCTTTCCATCTGGTTGCTTTCGAATGTTTTAATCCTTGGTGATTTTGAAGACACTCATGTTGATCAGCCCAATCTTCCATGCATCTGCCGTTCTCTACAATTATGGGGGTGGGTCTGCTGTTCGGTAAGTATGTAAAACGTTTGGCGCTTGTTCCATGGAGAGAAGTTTATTTTATGTGTTAATGCTTTGTACATTGGTAGTCAACTCCAAAATTGCTAATTTTTGTGGTTCATGTATATTAGAATCACTTGGGATGTCGGTAACTAAATGATATTTCTATAATTAGACCAAAACTCTCAATACACAGTCTCTGGAGTTGTTGAAATAACTAGCTGTTGGAGAATTTTTGACCAGCCTTTGCTCACTTTATTTGAATGGGCTACGTTTTACTATCTGTTAATATCAAATGAGGATTTAGCTGGCAGTAATCATTTAGAAAGTGTAATAAAGCAAAATTTTTATCTCTATTCTATTCTATTCTATTTTCTACTTTGTATTGTGACCAAAATGAGTTCAAAGGCGGTTACGGTTTAAAAAAACTGACTCATTAGGAGAGCCTCATATGCTAAGAGGCACGAAATTTGAAAACCGCCTCGCATGATCTCTCTAGCTTAAACCATTGTTGAGTTGAGGGACCGAAAAATGTTTATTACAACAGCTTTGATTCTGGGGTAAACTGAAGTGTCGGTAATCCGGTATCCAAATTTTTTTTATAAAGCATTTTTTATATCCCACGTGTGAGAAATAAATTCTATCATATTTTCCTACAGTAAAAGAGTACTTTTTTTTTCGCCGTCTTCTCTAAAGACAATTACAGATTAGACAACAAAAATGTATTAAGTTAAAAACCTGTGTTTTGTACTAAATTTACTTCTAGTGTGCATTTTGGGCTACTGTCACGGCCACTGTAAAACGTAAAATCCCGTTTTTTTCAGTTCCCGTTCCCGTGGGAATTTCAGGAAGTGTTTTAGTCTTTTAGTACATCAGAAACCTCTATGGGCATACATACAACCATTGCAAAGTTTCATTTCAATTGGATGAATGGAAAGGAAGACATATGAAACATACAGATAGACACACATTCATCTTTTATAAACTACAAAGTACATAAATAGAAATAGCAGGCCCGCCGCCCTTCATCAACGATCCTCATTAGTCTGGTGAAATGTAGAAATGCTAATATGAAAATTTTTACCAGACTGGGCGGCCCATTTTCTACAAATCATATTCTAATCACATTTGGCATCATTGTTGACCGTAAGAGCTTAATGTTCAACTACGGGGTGTGCTGGACTGTCGAGCACCTACTGTAACTGTATGAGGTCAGGTAAAAAAGGTTATTGGATCTAACCTCATTTTTTTAAAATGGACACCCTGTATATCTTAATCTAAAAAGATAAGCATATTAAAATCTCTCTTTAAAAATATAACACTGAAAAAATTTAATATTGATTCAAAAAAGATTTTTTGTAATTTTTTGAATATTATCCCTGGTGTATTATATTTTTCGAGAGAAGTCGGTCACCTTAGTATAACCACTTACGATAGCAAACCCATTGTGGCAGAAAATTGTTTTTGAAATTGTCCAAAAACGATTTTGGATCCGTCCTGCATTAGAGATAAAATTCTAGTATTTTCTGGCCTACCGTTCCAACCCCCACACTTAAAGGACCAGGTTTTTCTATTATTAGGGTGTACTCCCTTAAGAATTATTTCTTTGAAGGAATGATTTTGTATTTTTTTAACCTTGAAACTGCCTCAGGAAGGGTGAGAGCACACGAACAGTCACTACATTTGTGTGAGGTCTTGGAAGGTTTTGATTAAGATGGAACGTGGCTGTATCAAAACGCTCGTTGAGAGTCTAGGATTGCTTTCAAGGCTGCTCTATTTACAAATTATATTCTAATCCTAATATCTTTTTGTTCTAATTGACACAGAAAAAATTGCGTATCATTTGACGTGATTATATGTTTAGTTTAATCATCAATTTACGGCTTTTTCCTCGTTTGATATCAACACTTCCATCACCCTCCAAACGTGCCAACAAAATATTTCATGTAACAAAAAACACTGCAATATTATTGTCTACTTGGTTATAATTTCATGTACATGCAATATTCTCAGTTTCAAAAGTATGAGGGACTCCTATCGGAAAATACTTTACATTAAATCAAAAGTTACAGCAACTGATGACAATTACTGCCTGCGGTAAATTGATACTTTCTGTTATTTTTTTTTTACAAGTTGTCTGGTGGGGACATTTGCTACTTTTATTTTAGGTATTTTATTCTCAAAGTATTTGCTTTAAAAAACTTACGTACTCAATTAGGTGCAAATATAGTTTGTTAGTATATCCCTAAAATCAATGTCCTCATCTGCCTCGATCTCTCCTTTCTAATAATGAAAGAGATCTATCCGAAATTTACTATGGAAATATACTTGCTTAAAACATGCTGGCAAGTGAGTTCAAAATATTTCTGGTTCCAGAAGAAGGAGTGGACAGCCAAGCAAATTCTTCAGAATTCACATTATTCCTGTATGAGCAGAAAAAACTACATCATAGACCAAATAATAGTGTTTATGTGAACGAATAAAGATAGAGAGGGACTTTTACTTGGCATAATAAAACCTGCAAAATGAGTGAGAAAATCAAAAAAATTTTCTGCTTGAATAGTCCCAGTTGATGCAGCACAACGAATTACTAAAATTCTTAGAAAGTAAAAGCAGAACCGGTCCGACGGGTTGACCGGCCGGAAGCTTTTACTCGCGAAAATGAATGTGAACTCTTCCAATAGGGTCATTTGCATTATTTCGCATATTCTGTTTTCAAAATGTGAACCTTCTTATGTAATGCAATAAAAGGAGCAAGCGAGACACAGGAAGTTTAACCTAACGATATCCATTCAAATGGTTGAATGTGCAAAATAGGCACGGAACAATCCTGGACGTGTGGAATATAAATGTCTATAAAAGAAAGAGTTGAGAACAAACACAATGTAACAAGAATACAATTTGACAGACTGGACATCGATGCAGTGGAAAAGAAAGTAACTATAAAATAATGCAGTACCAGAAATAACTTCTCAGACGCCAGCAATGGAAATAAATAGAAAACATAATAATAAAAAAATCAAAACCATTGCTGTGATAGCATCAGACATCGATAAGAACAATCACATGCTACAAAAGAAAATAACATTTATCAAGAAAAAAACTTTAATAATTATTTAGCAAATAATGGAAAGAGCTCACATATATGAGGTATTGGGGATCGAAAGCAGATTCGGAAACAATGGAATCTAAGAATATGATCCCCATATATTCTATACCGAAAACTGAAACAAGACGGAAGTTGCTGCACCATTTCCAAGTAGAGATCCATGGTAAATCAAATTTTCTCAAAATGGAGGGTATGAGTTATGGTAGATACAGTAAATTAGAAATGAGGAGAATTTCAAATGTAAACGAATGGATCAGGGATGATTGGGCTGTAAAGACCGCAAGTGACAAGTTGCTAGATGGAAGACCGTCTGTGTGCCACCGGAGAAATTGTTGGAATGACTAATTTTGTGAGAAGAAAAATCGAAAGATGAAATTGAAGAAAATGGAAAGAAGCAAAAGTGATACGTAATTCATAAAAGGAACAAAATACACAGGAAGCATGTGATAAGTCTGAGAACAATGGAAATGGTTAGTATCAGAACAAGTGTAGTAAATGTTGAACGATTGTCAGTAAGTGGCTTGGGTTATTAAACAATGAGGAAGCAAAACAAAAGCTGGGGATGGTACCAAAAATATATTTAATGGATTCAAAATATTGAAATGAACTACATTTATTGACATGTTTAGTAAAAATGGAAAAACCACATATCTTGACCTATAACAAAAACTTTCCAATGTTCGTAAATATCAAAGCCTTAAACTCTCTATAAGTTATCTCCTCAGGATCCAACTAATCGAAATCGTAGCACGGAACGTTTCAATGTTAGGGGCTTATGTAGGTAATTGATTCGTGATAGGAAATGCGTGATGTCAACCTCCAAAGCTAATGAAGTGAGCTCCATAAAGTTTAAGGACCTTGAGAATCTCTGAATCAAGCATCTATTACTTAAAGGAACGTCCCAGAAAAGTTACCATATTTCATTATGGTTTTCAGAAATTTCTTTGCCAATTTTAAGAAATTCCCTTGCCGCCCGTAATGTGTAACAGTGACTCCCGTTGTTCGGCAATTCACCATTTGTAATTGACAGCATTTTACCAACATAATAATGTAATGAGTTTACAAATTTACTTATCCGCAACTGATGTATGTTAATATTTTTACAATGATGGCAAGTAGTGTAAATGTTCAAAACTGTGTGAAACAATGGATGAATGCTTATTGGGAAGAGGACGGAGCTGTAGACTTGGAGATTGGACACCATACAAGCTATCAACACAAACTTTCAACTGTCAGTGAGAAATAAACTCATCCAGAAAGGGGTTATGAATGGTGACAAGGGAATCAACTTGTTAGAAGGTGAAGTTCCCGAAAAAGTGATGATTTTGATGTTGGTCAGTCGTTCACATTCTTCTGTTTTTCCAACAACTATTGAATATTGATCAGCAACTAGCATTAATTTCTTCTGAATGCAGACGTACCATTGTTCAAGAAATTCTCCATTTCATATGTCAACAATCATCAGGTGAAAATTCAATTACTGGAATGCTTGTCCTACTAGTGTTGGTCTGCTTTGTCTGAAATGCTACATCCGATTCAAAGCAGAGAATGTCATTAGTCTTTTACAAATGGTGCCTGATCGTTGGATTCCATTCATCTATTTTGGATATGAGCTGTTTTGAGATCTGGTGTTTGGGAAGAATGATCTTGTGAGGGAACATCGTGGAGTATGGGAAGCAGATGTGCAAGATTTGAAGAGCGTAAAAGAGAATTTCGTTAAATTTACAATTACGAAATCATTAGCTGACCAAGTTGCAAATCTAATCATACCTTGGCAATACAATTATGAAGAAAAACAAGACTGCGGAAATGTGGAAGTTCAGCGAGTGTGATGCAAGATACAGAAGCAAAAAAAATCGAGCAAGATTGAATAATGAAGATCAGCAAAATTGAAGATCCATTCGGGACAAACCTGCCTTTATTTAAAACATAATAACATCATACAGTGCAGAAGTAAATAAACTCATTGTCATGTGTGCTATGTAACCGTAAAATGCTTTTGATTACATTCTTTTAATCAGTGTGCACAATTTAACAACATGTAACTATTCTTCATCTGTTTTCTTTCGTAGTTGTCCATCTTTCAATCACAGAATATTATGGGGTTATAGTCGCAGTAGTTATTTTTTTTGCATATCGCAGGGAGACTGTGAAATTAAGACAAATGTTTGATTAAGTTTTTCTTTATTAGTGTTGGGGGTACGCCCTCGTGAGAGGTATGGTTTGCTTCAGAATTTTGTAACATATTTTATGTTGGCTGTTTTTAATATTCGTAAATTTTGTTGAATATAATGATCTGTGAGGAATAGGTACAGTGTCGATATGTCTGAAAGTAGGCCAATATATGTAAGTGTAAAGCGAGTCACATGTTGGCGGCTAAGAAGCGCAACTGGAGACTGCGTCTGTGCAATTCTTCTCTGCGCTGCCTAATGCTGAACCCCTGGTTGTCTGCAGAGTTCCAAACACGAAGAGCGTAAGATGCAACAGCAAATGGAGTATTTCATTGAAAAATCGGAAAAGAAAGAACGAACCTCCAAGGCCAAAGATAAACGAGAAAAGATTAGCGACGAAGAGAAGGAACTTCGAAAGGAACGAAAAATTGGCCGCAAAAGGGTTTGTACTGTTCTCATTTATAATGCATAAGTTTCATGATGATAATACAATATTTAACCTAATGACATGATTAAAAATTAGTAAAAAAAATTTTAAAATCCGTCAATAAATGAGTGAAAAACATATTATTTAAGTTTAAGTATACAGTGCGCAACACAGTAGTGGTCTGTACTGCCTGTGACGTCATTTCACCTAATCGAGTGCATTCGTTACGGAACGGTACAGCGAACGAATAGGTCAAGTGACGTCACAGGCTGAAACGGAACGAAATTTCGCCAAGCGCAACTTGAAAATGATTCTTTCGCATTTTTGTTTCATTTTACTTAAATTTGCGTAATCAATGTACAACAAAAAACGTGAAACTTCTCCATTGGTGATTTATTCTCTATACTAAGAATACTGCTCGATCATTTATCAATTGTATGCATAGCATAGCATTGTAACTAATTCAGGTGTTGATTTTTTTTTTGCTGAAAGTAAGTGATGCTTCGTGTAAAGTGAAGCAACCGTAAGGAATATTGTGAGTGAAGTTCCGGGTTACATTAGACATGCCCCTGCAAATATATTTTGGATTCTTCCTGGATCATTTTGCGTCAAAAGAATATTTATCAAAGACTGTAGAAGAAAAGATAGGAAATGGCCATTTTTGTGGTTTTTTTCGTCTACAAGATGTAGAAAGTGCCACATCATTTCACAATACAGTGCGATCTATCTACTTATTTAAGGGAAAACGCTCTTGAAATTGAAACATTTATTGTGTATCATCAGTAGTGCATTTCTAAAAGCGACTACTGTAATTATTCAACAAACAAGGATATAACGAAAGGGAATCTTGGTAAGTGAAAACAACTCCTGTTGGATTATATCAACTATGTGTCTTATCTGCTGCCTTAATTGTGGAAATGGATCCATGATCTCCATGATGTTCACCTTTGGATTCGTTTTCCATTGTAACCGCTCGCCTTACATGAGCCCTATTTGTTTTTCTAAACAGATAATCTGTATGGAATAAATTCATTACAGCATTCATAGCCCGTTTGTTTTTGTCCCATTCAGTATGAAACATGCATTGAAATAAAAAAAGGAAGGAGGGTTGTGTACATATAACATACACAGACTTTGGGAACTAACTCAAGAGTGTATTGATCCTTCGCGGCCACATCATAGATGAAGCACTGTCTTGTTGAAAAAGGGTGTTTTGTTCAGCGCTCCACCAAAGTTTTTCCAAATAAAATTTTTCCAATAGTTCTATTACCTAAAATATCCGCCCGCACGTTGGGATGTTTAGAAAAAATGCACCTGTGCTTTAAAATACCTTGATCAATCGTTTGAGTCATAATATTAATTCTACACACTGATAATAATAATCATCTTCGTAAAGGAATTATGATCCAAGGTGATGGTACACCCTGTATATTTGTGAAATTATTTTCCTGAATTCTTGACCATACTGCTTTTAATGAAGGCGAACCTCGCGCCCTATCAGATAGTACCGATTTAACATTATTCGTTTTTATGGCAAAAACTTATCGTTTTTTAGATACCTCCCCTACTCCATTCAGTCTTCATTCTTGCCAATACATCACAAGAAGAAGTTATTTCCCTAGTATGGGCATATTAAGGCCATAAACAGCAATAATTATTGTTAGAAAGTGATTTCGTCTGATATAATGCATTCCTTTGGTTCGATCAAACTTCTTCAGAATCTCCAGAAATTATACGTGGGAAACTCATATATTTTGGAAAAATGGCCGCCATCTTAAATTTTTTTAAACTGTTTTTTTTTTTCAAGAAATCAAACATCCGCCATATTGGGAAATGGAAATCACAAACACGTTATGTTTGCAGACAATGCCAGGCTTGTGTTAAAAAATAGGTTAGAACGTCTTTTCCAACTCTGCGATTCAATTTTTCGGTGAACCACTAATTTTTTTAAGTCGCCTATCGAAATCCTGCATACATGTGAGTATAAACATGGTGTTCTTAAAACAATCGGTTCCTAAGAAATGTTTGCAAAAATGGCTGACACCTTTGAGGAGTTACCTCAGATGGAGTCTACTTTCTAAAAAATATTGTAAAATGTGTAGTATGTAGACGGAACTTACGAGACCTTTTATTTCGCTATAGCTCAAATGGTACATTTTTTCCTGCTGGCTCTTGCAACTATTTCTTTTAATGAGACTCTCAGTTAGCTGCAGTGTGGATACTTCCAAAAGGTCACTTGTTATCGTTCGCAGCCAAAAAAATTGTTACACAACATTCAGAATTAAACAGCCTTTCATTTAATCTTGCCCTCATTTAGATCTTGTAAATCTTATATTGAAAGGTGATACAAATCTCGTTACACTTTTATTATGCAGTTGGCAACAAATTTGCAAAAATGTAGCTGATTAACAAAGCTAGAAAAATTCGAAAAAACTTTAGATTAACAACCTGAATACAATCCCCTGCCATTTTAAGTACTAACCCGCGCTCTTTTTTATCGCCTAAGTACATTGGCTATTATGGTCAAGGTCCTTATTTTCTTGTTTCGTCTAAACTTGCAGTATTGTTAGTACAGGAGAAGAATAAATTATGCCGTCAATAGTAATCCTATAAACGGCTGAAACTTTTTAGGATCGTTCCGAAGAAGCTGTATGGGAACGAAAACGCCGAGACGAGGAAAAAGGTATGTAATATTTTTTTCCCTTTAGTTCCGCTTTGTAATACCATTTCATACAGTTGCCAAAATGATGTCGCATCAAAATGGCGAAATGTTGGAAGCAACACACACCCGCGAAAAACACCACCATCCCAGAGTACGTAGCACTTTTAAATTTACCTCTACAAATATCACTTTTTATAGGAGAAATCACCGTATATGCGAGAAAGAGAGAGATCTCACGATAGAATAGAATTAAGAGATAAACAATATCCTTTTAATAGAAACAAGTATTATAGTATGTAAGATATTTTCATGGCTGATCTCAATGTTCCTCTTGATACTTATCCATTTGTAGTTGTGATGTTGGTGCCTTTTAATGTACATATATGTAGTAATAAAAATCTGCATCTTAATTAGTCAAATAATGACGCTTACATTTTTACTGTTTTACCTATGCTCATATTGTCTGCTTTACTTTTACTGCTAAGCTTTCACCTACTAGTACGCTTGCGCATCCTTGTTTATTTTTTTAATTGCAAGACTACACCTCTAACATTTGTGTCCCTATAATTTGGTTAGTTTATCCTGATCAGGTCCCAATGTTTCCTTTATCAGAAGTAGACCTAAACACACATTCCATCCAGTATCAATAGGCATTAATCGTTATTCTAACCAGTGGCGTGCATGAAGTTAGTCTAAATTGAGTCTTCTGGTGATAAACCTTTAAATTATTTTAGTTTCAAACGATTATCGTTAGGGGGCGAAAGGTGCACTCTAATCTGACAAACGGGTTCAAAGTACAACAATAGAGGATAATTGGCTGTACTTTATGCACATAGTGTAATAACATTACAGTTGCACAGGTTGTTTTCAAACAGCATGGCATATTTAATGACATGTAGAGTTTGTAATCAAATTGGATTAAAAACGATATCAGTGCCTTGATTAATGATAGTAGCATTATCGTTCATTGTCGATTTGCCTCCTACATTTGACTTGTTGCTAATAATTTCATTTATTACTAACTTTCTATATTTCATTTTACATTAGAAACACCAATGGCTCTAAACGAGCAAGCATAAGCATGTTGGCAGATGTCAAACATTCTTTTCCCAACTGCAATCTATGCATGATATTGATTTATGGTACTTTGTACTGACATATGAGAAAAGGCTAATGATAAATGTAGCACTCTTACAATTGCATGAACTTCTTATTTCTTGTGCATGCCGATTATCTCATAAAATGTTATTGTTGTGTTTTGTGATGTTAAATTCCTTAATTATGCTTACTAGACGTTCCACAGAAAACAAGAGAAGATGATCGTAATCATGACTTTTTTGTCTAGAAGAGAACCGTTTCTTACCTACTATTTTTTTAGTATTTTAGAATCGATTTCTTTATACATGTTTTCCATACCTATAATAGAGGACGCATCTACAGATTAACTAAAGATGCCTAAGTATAAAACGTGAAAGATAAGTTTTGTATTATTTTAAGTGTTAATAAAATAGTATTTAAATTCTTACATTCTTAAATCCCTACCCAACAGGTACTATTAAGAACGGCCTATACAGATACTTTTCCTAAAATCTTGACAGTGTTCGTGGAAAAAACCCATTCCTTTAATGTTAACACTGAATAGCAAATGCAGCAACATCCGTGACTTACTGCTATGAAGAGATGTTGGATGTTATGCTCTTTTTGATTTGATCTAGTTGAACTAACCACATTTTCAACAGAGCTTTCCTATGTTTGCTTGTTTACTCTTAGTTATTCTCTGCTTCCTTTTTAGTATTATGCATTTCAGAATCTCTTGTAAAATAATGATCATTGTTTGTCATCATATAATGAATAGCATATTTCTGGCAAAAAAGTATAGACAGAAGATTGAACAACTCTTAACATACTGCAAGAGGTAAGCAACACCTACCACAGTCCACAGTCCATTTTTTGTGTAGGTTTGAGGGATCATTTTAGCAGACGTTGAATAAGAACGACCCGTAATTTAAAAAAGAACTACAGAAACTAATTCTAGTAGTAGGTAACCTATAGTCCTATACCATTAAATTTATAACTACTTGTATCAAAGTCAATGCCTATACGGTGTCAGTGTTGCCTTAAGCCCCCCGCAATGAATTATTTCCCTGGTTGAAACTAAAGCAACGACCAAAGTAGCTTTAGAAAATTGGGGGGGGGGGGGGCGTTGTACACTTCATGGTATTCTAATGAAAGAAATTGGTTTCTATTCGGCCCAATACCGAATATTCGTTGCAACAAAACGTTTTTTTATATATCTTGAGTTTAGCACCGTGACGTCATACAACTTTTTTTCAAATAGCAACGCCACATTTTTATTAAATTATTCGAAAGACTTTCTTTTTCTATATACAATCTACAAAAATTATGCTACGTTTTATTATAAAAAAAAGAAAAGTTAAAATTAAAAAACTAAAATATTTTTTTCACCAAAACGGTTTTCGTTAAAGTTTTGGCAGTCATTAGGCATAAAAGGGATGTAAAACTATCAAAAACTTTTTTAATATATTAGTTTTTAGCACCATGACGTCATACAACTGTTGTTTCAAATAGTAACCCACATATCTTTACTAACGAGCGAGTAGTTACCCATTCAAATACAAGTATTAACCGACAGCAACGTTGCTATTGACTGTAGACAATAAATGAATTATTAGTAATAAACAAAAACAAAGAAAAAGCGCGGGAAGTATCAACACAACAACAGGGGGGGGGGGGGGAGATATTACGAGGGAACGAATCATTACAAAATTGTCGCCTATCGCGAACTAATTAGAATTATTAACCTTAAAATAAAGGGTAAACTTTGTTTTGTCCTAGTATACAAATGGAATTCGGAACAAAAGCCGCATAAGAGAGGCGAATTAGGGTGTAGCGGTCATTTCTTTTGTGAGCTGTGACTACCAGTTTCGTAATCTTATATTTCAGTGTTACTTAATTAATTTATGTGCAGAGTACGCCATATCGTGAGACCATCGACTATTGCGGAAACCAGCGGCGATATCAAAAATGATTTATCCAAATTTTGCACATTTTCACATAACTATCCCTCAAGGGTCAAGTGTAGGGCAACTAATTTTTTTCAAATGGAAACCTATATTCTTTATTGAATTTTCTTACGCTCAGAAAATAATCAACTTTAGCGGGAATTTCAAGACACTCATTTTTGGTTTGAGCTAGGAAGCTGTTCTGTATAGTGATGCAACGGAAGCAGAAGTGTAAATACTATTATAAGTTTAATAAAAACTACAATAATTAGTTATAGAAATTTAGTTTATTCAACTATGCGATAAACTTGTTGCGACCAACTAATGAGATGAATGAAAGCAACAAAGACCAACAGGTCGCGCATGTCCGATGGCTGGCTCTGCTGACAAACCTCGCCCGCGGCTCACGACACGCGCGCCGTTCCGTTTGGCCAATCAGAGCGCATCTTGGCCATATTTGAAAAATTCCGGTATTCTTCCGTTATAGAATAGCGGAATCGGAGGCAGTTGTGCGGAAGTCTGTTGCATCACTATAGTTCTGTCAAGAATTTAACAAATTTTTTAATATAGAAACACTAATGGGACTATTTTTGTTAAATGAAAAAATGTTGAGTATCAGACAGTAGCATTAGACATGCAGTAGATCAGACAATAACATTTTAAATAATTAGATATTTTAATGAGTTAGGTTGCTGCCACAGGCCTCGGAAATACTTGATTACCAAGTGAATAATTTTCATACGCCTGTTTTCATAATTTATTATAATTCAAACAACCGAAACTGTCCGATTCATTCCTGCATACCAAATTACTTTCTCCTGGATCTTACCAAACACTGCAAGATCAGACAATAACATTTTAAATAATTAGATATTTTAATGAGTTAGGTTGCTGCCACAGGCCTCGGAAATACTTGATTACCAAGTGAATAATTTTCATACGCCTGTTTTCATAATTTATTATAATTCAAACAACCGAAACTGTCCGATTCATTCCTGCATACCAAATTACTTTCTCCTGGATCTTACCAAACACTGCAAGATATGTATGACCCCCTACCGTTTGAGTTTGCTTATATATTCTTTTAATTTTTAGGTGAAGCAAGCACTTGCAATTAATTTACCTTTTTCATTAATATTTGATAGTTACTCTCAGGTGGTCATTCCCCCCAAATTTCAAAGATTAATATTAACACTTTTTAATTCAGATTTCATTTTAAGATGAAGAATAATTGCAATTGTTTACTTTTAACTATTATTATTCGTTACTCCTAGCATTTTAAAAAAAACGTTAAAATAGCTCGCTTTCAGTATTTTCATATCACATACCGCGTATACGCACTCCTCCGAGCAGAAAAAAGTGAGATCAACATCCTAGCATTTATATAATGCTCCTAGTAAATATCACAATAAAATTCCTACATACCGAATTGATTTTTATACTGTCGAACACGTCTTACAAATGAAATTTTAATTCAAATTAGTTTCGACTAATTTACATTTTGGCCATTATTAAGTTTCGGAATGGTAAGGTCAAAGTCCCTTCTGCAGTTCTGGTTTTTGAGAGTAGGTAACACAGTTTGGTCACGGACTACTACGGTTTTACTAGTAAAATTTGTACATACCAAATAATTGACTTCCAACAACTTGCTGAAAAACAATTCGGTTAGATATGGCCGCTTCCACATGTTCAGTGATCTGTTTAATTAAAAAAAGCAACACTTCTAAGAATATTTTATTTCAAGAGGCCCATCTTGAAAATTCTTAACCTACTAAAATACTTAATATGAATAAACAATTTCAAAAAATATTTATTTTGAATTTTTGGCAACCTTTTCATCATCTGACTAGGCACTAGGCACGTATAAATTCATCGTTATATAAATGTTTGTACAATATAAAATATAATCTATACAAAATTCTCAATGATTAAAAACTAGGAAAACCACAATCACAATATGTAGGTACACTATAATTTAAGTACAATTGCCTCTCCTAAAAATGTTATAAAATACTTTTATCCAATCTTACACACAAAATACATAATTACAATAATCTTTGGATAATACAAAAAAGTATGCCATTAATCAATCGAAATCATAATTAGCACAACTTCCGAATGGTAACCAAGTAATATTATTGCACAAAAATAATGCTAGGTAGGACATAATAAATTATCAGGTATTTTCGTTTGACTTTGATGTAAACTTTTTGTATTTAATACTTTACGTTTAATTTTTTCTTTATCTTGTTTTCGAGACTTTTGTTTGAAAAGTGTTATAGGTGTCAGTTGTGGCATGTGAAAATCGTCTCCGACAGTTAACTCGGTAACATAGTCAAAATTGTGTTGTTTACTTTGGTGTTTTTGTAAAAGAAATTTTCTTGTGAACGTCGAATTACATTCGAGGCATTTGAATGGTCTTTCACCTGTGTGAATTAGGATGTGCCGTTTCAAGTCGGTCGACCAACCGAAAGATTTTTGGCAGTAAGTACATTGGTATTTCCGCGAGACCTTGTCGGAGATGGACTTTGTATCATTTGCCATGTCACTTTCACTTTGTAGATCATCCGAGGTTATTGCACAGAAGTCGATGGGCTCATTTTTAACTTCGCAGTTCGCTGCTAATGGTAACTCTTCATTTTTCACCTTTGATTTGAAGGTTGATATAGGATACAGATCGGGAACATCCACTTTTCTACAGTTTGTACTGTTGTGTGTTACTTCATTATCGAAACTTTCATTATTTGCATGCTGTGCAAAATGTTGCAAAAGTGAGGAGGCCGAAGGGAACGATATGTTACATTCTGAGCATACTAATTCTGCAAAAGGAAATAATTAAAATTGTTGTTTTTCACTCATGTTTGTGGTTAACATACCATACAGCATTTTTTGGACACCCACCACAATTACTAATTAAATGTACGTACGTACAACACATTAAATACCGCTCGTTAACGTAATTCTAAAAATGTATAATATGCATTAACTAAATCTGATGAAGTACATAATTTGTTTGTTTATTATTGTCTGACTAGTCACATTTCGCCATCTTGTAAGATTTTGTATTGATATTAGAGCGGAACATCCGGGTCGCCATATTGTTGCAGTACAACCACAAGATGCTTGATAATGAAATAATAAAAAAGCAATTATCGTTACGTGGAAAGGAACGAAACTTTTTCATGTGTTCAAATTTTGAAAACATTTTGTACTTTAACCTTTTCCAGTAGCGGCCACAAAATCACTCTTGTTTATTTCATCCATTACAGTTAATTCCTTCGATTGGCAATTCCGTAACCGGTGGTTATTAAACTACGAACTGTGCAAACGACTGTCAGCATTTTAGTTTTGGTGTTGTTTTATCATAAAAATATGCAAGTTATTATTTAAGAATAAGTGATCCACAGGTGGGTACCTTTTTTATTAATTGTTTTGTACTGTCCTACTTGTCAATTTGTTCTCATGTGGACGAACTTTATGTTTATGTGGGTGGTATATATCTACAGCATACTGCTGCATTGGGTGTACCGAGTAGCCATTTTGTAAAAGTTACTTTAGTGAATATTTAAATCATTTGTTACCACAAATTTATTTTTGAATTAAGATTCGTATAGGTTTTTTTTTATATCTTCACGCATACATTACGATTCCGCACTTCTTAAACGTTTTACAATGATAACCTCAAATGTGGTGTTTGTCAATCTTAAAACAAGATGGCCACGGAAAGTAATTTTGACTAAAACTCATTTATATTTTAGCATTATTTTAAAATGCACTGCATCTTTGTTGGTATTTACACAGTGAAACATGTAAGATTGGTTGGTATTTATCTACTGCAGTTGTAGCATATACTCACACGCACGCAGAACTATAATTAAAAATATTAACAATTTTAAATGTGTTGGTAACACTTGTTTTAAATGGCGACAGAAGTTAGTTGGGGTGTTAACCACGTTATAGTGCATTACTTGTCGGTAAGCGTCAATCGAGGCGTCAATATTATATTCTATATAGATATTCACTTTGACTTCATCAATAGATATGCTTTGGCCAGATGTTCCAATAAGCCCTGTGTGAGTACCCTCCTCCGGCACTCCATTCCCGAGATATGTCTCGTCCAGACTTCTCTTTTTTTCTTTGTGTGTTCTCTCCTCCGACACTCGATTCTCGAGGTATGAGGAATTATAACTTATCTGGAAAAGACGTTTGAGAGGAGGACAGTAGGAATTAATTCCTGGGGTTGAGTTGTTGAGACTTGGTAGAGTCCCTTTTGTTGAGACGGGCGGTAGTTGGTAAAAAACAGTTCCTTTCGTTAAGACCTTTAATTAGAGTACCATGAAAGATAAATCCAATTTCTGCCTCCCCCTTCCTCCCGTCATCCACTGATCTCGAAATCTAATCATATCCGCTTATTAGGTCCCAAAAAATTCAAAATGAAATTAACGAATTTTTTTTTATATCATATGGTGGATGCCATATTGGATTTTTACGGAATGGGATAGGGGACCGCAAGAGTGTGGCGTCATTAATTATTTTTCTTTTTTTGTCCTCTAGATATCTCAATCCGTAAAAATCCAATATGGCGCCCATAAGATAAAAGAAAGTAGTAGCCTGCAGCTTCTACACGTAGCGTGCTATGGGAATTCTGATCAAGATTCTTTAAAAAAGTGCCCTTATAAGGTGCCAAAAAGAACCATCAATTTCCGACCGTTATTAAGCTACGGAATTGAAAACCAAATTTGTCATTTTTAGTTATTCGGATCTCAGTTATTTTCAGATTTTTCAAAAGTGTTTTTTTACTTACAAAAAGGGGAACTTTGCCCCTATTTAATCTACACAGTATCTGTCACCGTTGCGGAGATCGCAATGGTAAGCCACGAATTTTAACCACCCTGTACAGCGTTGCCACGTGCGTAGTTTATGCAAATGTGCAATCCAGTTTGAAAAAATCTGGAAAAATGCACAATTTTCCAAAGAAGCAGCTGTAGGTAGAAGATAGAATTCATATCTTCCACATTTGTTTATAGTTGGTCACAAAATTCGAATTTGAGTATTTGAAGTAGGTGTAGGAGTCTATTCTTCCTATCATATATAGGAAAAACTGGAGATTTTTTATGAGATGTTAAGAGTAAACAGCTGTCTATTTTATTGAGCTCATCTCTAAAAAATTGAGCAAGTTGCGCATGCGTATAATACCGCAAAAGATCCCAAAATGTCTCGCAACGCATCTTTTCGGTAAAGTCCCTAGATTTCTACTTTTCGGAATGTAGATGCTAGCATTCTACGATCCGATTTGTATTCAGTACATTGAAATAAAAGACATTCAGTATTGCAAATTGTACGTCAAAAGGCCAGACAAGTGAAGGATAAACAAAAGTCTGTCAAAAAATGCGGTGACTTTACGTGATGCTTAATTCAATATTACGTAGTAATAATTACTATAATGTAGAAAGGATTCTGGTATTAATCTTATTTTACTTTCTCGATGGTATTAATTTAGATTAGGTAGGCACGCCGCAGGTGTTTCATATGTTTAGTATTAGCATCATTGAATCGTCCCAAATGCATTTCGGCACGTTGCGTAGCCATTTTGTTTTAGAGCAGTTGCAACGTTTACCGACGTATTTTTCTGTTACGTTCTTGTTTTAAGTGAAACCGAAAACAAAAAAATGTACTTTTAGTCGTTGCGTAGAATATTTCGTTATCACAATCTATTTTTATACCCACTTAGGTCACGGAGTGTACGAAAGCGATACAGGTAGGTTACTCGATTGCTTATTTTTTTCAATGCGACTGCATGTACCGAAATACGACGCACAGTATATACTAATGAAAGCAGGGAACACAATAAACTAGAGCGCTGTTTACAAGTAAGTAATATCGTTATTTGTAAGGAAATTCTCTTAACCCGTACTTGTGCATCACGTTTTTACGAACTTCTGTAGGGAGCAACGACCAACGAGTAAAATTAAGGCAGGGAGTGCGACGCTTGCCGCCGCCATCTTTCTGCGTATTAGCGAAGGGCGAAAAGTAAATTATAACAAAGCGCCGAAGCCGAAGTAAACGCATAAAATTACAAACGACTACGAATTTTGTGTGTTTCTGTATTTGTAAATAAGGAAACCATTTCGTAAATGGAAGGTACGTAATATTTTCATCAAATGAAAATTTAATGCAACACAGTTAATACAGTTTATGTGTGGTTAGAATTAGATACGAGGGTTATCTGGTAAATAATTATCTCATTTTTTTACAATAAAAAAAGTATCTGATTATAGATAAATTTAGGCGTGCATAATAAGAAATGCTTCTTGTGCACAACATTTTAAAATCAAAAATAGATCATGCACCATTTTTTACAGCAAAGAACATGAAATGTGGCCAATTTTCTTTACAGACGCCATTTTTCTATCCTGCTGCAGCTGCGCAATAAAAAAATTAAACTACAAATCAACACATGAAGTTTGTTGGTTTCCAATTTTTGTTGTAAACTTTTTAATGGATAAAATAAAGGAAGTTTCATTTAAAAAATCTAACTCAATGTAGTCGATGGTCGATAGGCATAACGAACAGCAGTTTATAAACTAAGTTTTGTAATTGGGTAAGAGCCGGGTTTTTCATGTTAACATTAACTCTATCTGACAATGTATTCACATAGGAGGTTATTTATCGGATAAATTTAAGTGACGGCAGCTCTTTTTGGGAATTTTTTTGGATACTCTATCGGTTGTTCTATAATATAATTTCTGTTAAAATGAAGGTATAGTGTTTAAAAGTACTTCAAAACAACTAGGGACAACAACGACAAGCACAACACGTAAGTGTAACACTGATATTCGTGTGTATCGGCACATAACCGAAGCTGTTATTTCAGGTTCAAACATGGAAATATATAATATAATAAAATATGTATAAGAAAATTGTTATGCAGAACTAAAGAACGGACTACAAATTAAAAATGAAAATTGCAAAGAGGTTTTAGCATTTGAATTTGTTGAAAGTATATTATGCGTGTGCTACAGCAAAACGATGGGCCACAGTATGTACACATATCGGAACATTCAGGCCTTGTGTGCACTTTGAGGTCGAATTTATGGTTGTGTCGAAAGTGAGATAATTCCGAATGCTTTCTGAGATTGCAAGCTGGCATGATCAGATTTATTTTGTGTTTTAAAAGAGCTCGTTATTCTCATAAACACATGCATCACAATTCCATACAAAAATAAAATAATGGTGGCTATACAACAAAAGCATTCATTTCAAACTGTCTTGAAATATTTGTAAAACGTTAGTTTCAGTTTTTTACTGTTGGATCCAATTATATGTTGTCGGTTATACGTAGGATAGGTATGGCTTCAATGAATTTTGTGCTAATCCTTCGCAATTTTAGAGTATTGAACGTTGAATGAATTAATTGATTAGGTATAACAAGAGATATTGAGATGGATGCAGGTATGTATCCTGGTGTCATTGGATGCTCATACCTTGTAAAAAATATAAAACAACCTTATATGCAAATGTCAACTATAGTTGATTGTGCATCTGTAGAAATTATTTTTGAATGTACATTAGGGCGCCCTATTTTTACGTTGTCAATAAATATGTAACTTTTAACATTGGAGTTGTTTATGGTTTCGTATATGGGTACAAAGATATGGGTTTCATTTAAGGCCAAAAGACAACGGTATCATATCAAGTGGTAATTGCACCGTACTCGGCCGTGGTCAGTAGGTTAAGCAAAAGTCGCAGATACTGTCGACACAGTACTTAATATTGCTCAATTGTTTTGTTAATGATTTAAAATTCTCGCACATATCCTTTAATAGTATTAATGGCAAGCACTAGCGAGTTATTTGTTTACATATGGCGTTATACGGTTATCATTTCTGATGGTTGCATGGATTGCGAAATCTGAATTTGTTTAATAACACTATATTTAGTTGTTTGAATTTCATTTGTTAAACTCTATTCTATTCGCTTGTTGTCAACGTTGCCATCTTTTTAATTTTTTTCTAAATAATTATTCCCCATAGGCAAGCTTCACATTGAAAAATCGTAAGAAATACCTTTGAGCAATAATGTTAATCCAAGTAATGGGCAACACTTTGATAATGAGAAAGTGGTATCTAGTGAGACAGGGTGTATACAAGGAATGGTAAAGTTTTTGAATGTGCCATAAATTTTTTTTTTTAATGAAAGCCCCAATAGAATGCCAGAAAGTAAACAAGTGTAAATCTGGAAATTTAATAAATGTATGTAAATTTTTATAGGAACAATTTTGAGTTGATTAATGTTTTTAACTCCTTAATTAATAATTATTGTTTATCATTTTGAGTGAAAAACTGGCATAGCCTTAGGCGGAAAAGTGTAAATCCGCCTTTGGGTGAACGCACCCTATGGCCATTAGACAAAGATGAAATTATATCATTCATAAAACGACGTTTCTCTACGTCAGTGGGAATTAAATTATATAATGTCCTCCCCAAAAGTGTAACAGGTCAGAAAACATTAAAGAGTTTTAGGGCAGCTATAAAAGCAATTCTTTTAATTCAAGCACCATATACTGTGGATGAGTTTTTTAACTTTTGTTTTCGAAACTAGTTTCTTTGTAATTATTTTAACGTGTTCTAGTATTTTAAATTGTGGAGTTATACGTTTACTGTGTACATTTGACTATCTCATGCAATGGCTCACATTGTCAGAGATAATAAATAAATATTGATATTGATACCATTTTTTTTAATATAAATAAAATCCCCTAAAAATGCTACATTTATTAAGTAGCGCGAATATTACAAGCAGCTACTTTATCAATGCGTCAAAAAGTGCAGTCCATTGTTTGCGAGGGCTGGTGTGGAAGTAGGTGATCACTGAATAAGTAGATTGAAAGAATTAGTAAGATATTCCTTTGAACGATGGAAATGGGCCGTTGATAATAGAATACTCTGATTTTAAATAGCCAAAACAGATGGCATTTTCGACTTCGTTGGCATTGTTAGTGTCATTTGGCAAATTTGATGTCCTGAAATGTGGGATTTAATTTGAAAAAAATTGAACATGAACGTGAGCTCATACAAACTGTAACATAAAAAATTCAGATCCGTATTAGAAAAAAAGTTGACGATGACTCATCATGACTTTGATGACCCAAAAAACCGAAATACCAAACTTTAAAATCGAATCATATTAGCTCGTAAAGGAGAAAAAGTTACAATGTGACGTGTTATTTATTTTCAAAAATCTTTGCAAATAAAGCCAGAAAAATAAAAAAAATATTACACCAAGAACATATTTTTCTATACTAGTGAGCCATGCATAATAATGACTAATGAGCTATGGTCTTACAGTTTTAATAATAATATGTATACAACTTAATTAATATTTCTGTCTGCTTCTATCACATGGAGCGCATGAGATCGATGCGTACACCACGATCCTTTTCTTTCACACGGACCATGTACGGTTGTCGCGCGAGAGAGCAACATGTATTGTTCCATGTGAAAGAAAAGGACGCAGCGTAACAGAGCTCTCCATGTGATAGAAGCAGGTAAAAATATTTACATTAATTTTAATTAACTTGCGGTAATTATATGGTAATCGTTGTCGCGACTTCATTTGCACAAAATTAATTTTGAACGATATTCTTATACGGAGTCGACCGTAGCAAGGGATCTTTCTTCCTGTGCACGTTTGTCTTAGTCACCAAAACCAGATTGAAACATCACTTGGAATACACATGTCACGTGTGAGAAATGCTGAGATAATCTTACAAGATACAATAGTTAGAAAGAAATTTTACAAATGTTATTTGTCTAAAGGTATTAATTCTATTTATTTTTGTTTATTGTATAATTGTGATGGCTTATGAAGTCTCATTTTTTACTCTTTGTAACTGCTGACAAGTAAGTAGATTTTTTTCTTTCAATTTAATTTCAAACCACTTTTATGCTTCTATTTACTCGTAGAGAGACACTGAAGATGGCTTATAGCCGAAAGCGGTTTGCATTTTAATTCAATAAAGACATTTGCATGATATGCAAAAAGCCTTTCTCCACACAATAAGTTATTGGTAATTGGTATTAATACTGCCGGTATAGTTTGGAAAATGCTTAATTCAATTGAATTCCTAACTGGAGGAATTAATATAAATAATTGTTTATTGGTTTCTACGTATTCCTCAGTTTGGAGAGAGCGAGCCACCCTGTAGTTAAAAATTTACTTGCTGTAAATGTAATCTAGGTGTAGCATTAGAAGTTTCAGGCGGGACATCCTCAACAAATATTTGTTTAGGACCTGACGGACACTTTGTCAAATGGACACAGAATTTCAGGATTTTGTTTAATGGTTAGTGTAATGTTTAATTTTTTTCGTACTTCCGGGACTAAAGTAACAACTTCACTCCATTATGACAAGTACTGAAGTGTCACTTTTTGTCCCGCCGGGATTAAATTTAGACGAAAATCCCGGAAGGATGAAATTACTAACAAGGCAATTTCAGTAGGTTGTTCCACATTTTGTATGCGGCACTACTTCTTAAACGCATCGTACTGCTGCTCATATAGTTTTTTGGATTCCGGTGGTATCAATTCTTTACCTACTTTGGCCGCTTTTTATCAATATCAAATACACCTTTGTCACCCACCACCAAAATTATAACACTAGCAATGACAGTTTCCAAATTATTTTTGTTACCATGGCATAGGGATTGTCATACCAACGCAACATTCCTATGATAACTTGTTAAGCAGCGATTTTTTGAAAGAACGCGTTCTCTAACTCCATACATATTAAGTGTTTCGGTTTCGGAAGTACGAAAAATATCGTATATACCTTGCGACTGAAGTAGTGGTCTTAATCCCTCAGGTAAATTATTATTAAACTTTACCTTCGGGATTAAAAGTACTACTTCAGTCCCGCGGTATATAATATACTATTGTATTGTAAATTCGTATAAGTAATTTAAGGGTTGTTATCATATTTAATGAGTGTCTGAAATTCAAGGAACGCATAAATAAGGAAACATTTAATTTGAAATCGACTTAAGAAAGGAGTCTTATCTGGACAAATGTACCTATGTGTAACGGCCCAACGGACAAATTAATATACGATTTTTTTTTTGGAAAGTTGTGAAAACGTGGTCATTATTATAATTTTTAATGTTTTGAACAAAATTCGTATCATTTATTTGTTATGCTGAATATTTTGTGGCTTCCACGTTAGGTGTTACAGACTTATGGCTTTTAAGGCGATTGGTCTTTGTAGTAATCATAGTTCCAGGTGGTGTCGCTTTGGTGTTATTTAATTTTATAACTTATTTTTCAGTGGTGCCAGGATGGGGGATCCATTAAAGCAGCTCCTTCTTCAGTCTGGTTGGTCATATGAAGACGTCTTGCAGAAACTTGAGCAATACAAAACCGAAAACGTCATAAAATCAGAAACTGAGAACTGCAGTTCAAAGAGTGAACTCCCCTTGGCCGGTAAAAATGTACAAGAATTATCTGAGAAAAGTACAATAAGAATAGATTCTGTGATAAATAATAATAATGCTATTCCACAAAATGGCGGTACTTTTCCAGAGGTAAATAATGGGGTTATATGTGTGGATGTTGAAATTTTATCCGACGATGAAATCGTTGACTACATTCCAGATTCAAGTCAAGATCAAGAGGTTCCGCATGTTAAAGAAGAGGAAGAAACTCCAGCGGAGTGTATAATAATAGATGAAAATGAAATTGGGACAAAACCTGTTACTCCTCCTACTGAAAGTAGAAATAAAAAAGGCATTACAATCTTAAATCATTTTAAAATAAACACGAATAATAACCAAAGATATGTCATTCAAGATTTATCCTCAAACACTAATCCTCAATTCAGTAATTTAAATATAAGTAACACAAATTGTGATATTAATAACACACAGTGCAGTGTTACTAAACCGGCTACAATTGAAAACTGTGATAGCACAATGAATAGCGGAAGGAATCTCATTTGTGCAGAGAATAAGGACTTAAACCTCGAATCCCTACCTAAAGTAAATTCGGGCGATCGAAAGCGCGACCTTGTAAATAAATCTGATGACTATTCTTCGATTAAACGTAGAAAGAGTAACTGCGAAGTAAATGGTGATAATGTCTCAAAAATTACCACCCCCGACTCGTTTTGCAAACCGCCTACTGTTGCGGCCCTTAATACATCGACTGACTTAATTGAGGAACTGAACAATTTGTTTGATGACGTGGAATCAAATTCGAAAAAAATGTTTCCAGCTGCTAACGAAAGCGCGGAATGTGATGACATAATTTCAAATGCGGAAAAACTACTGCGCGAACTCGCTGGCACACCCGTGCGTAATGAACCGGAGGAAGACATTGTTTTTGTCGGCACGCCAGAAACTTGCGAAACTCCAAGAGAAAATGTAAGGACCGAACAAGAGCCTCAACAAGAAAGTGTGAAAATGTTAAATTTAACGAGCAATTTGGAGAAAAAAAAACATAATAGTCGATTACATCGTATCACCAATGTATTACTTGAAAAGCTTCAGAAGGACGGTCCTATTACCCTTGAGACTCCTCAGGACGAAAGTGATGACCAGGATGAAAGTGCAGTTGGTTTTCAAATTGTTAATGTAGTAGGAGGTTACAAATCCCCTGAACGTGAAGCAGAAGATCAAGTGATGCCAAAAACTAATGAATCACCTTCGGTAACAAAAAAGAAGAAAATGAAGAAGTTGTTCAAGCAGTCTGTTGGTAACATCTCGAAACAAGACTACACGCCCATAAAGCCTACAAAAACAAATGATGTTACTAAAATTAAGGGGTGGAAGAAAAAGAAATTTAGTACCGAAAATGATTTGGGCAATGTGTCGCCTACTGCTGTGACTAAATCTCCGAGGGTAGACACCTCAAATTCGGCGAATGCCGCATTTACGAGTGATATATTGGATCAGTTCCTAAGTGAAAATTCCAGCTTGAATATTAGCTACGAACTACCAAAGCTTGTTGCTGAAGATACCTTAAAGCAAACGTACATCGACGTACAATTTCCTGCATATGGGCAGGTTGCGCCGTCACCTACCCCAAAACCGAAGAAGGAAGGTTTTAAACCCAAAACCGTGGCCGAAAAACGACGAATGGAGGAGATGAAATTTAATCCTATCGCTAACATTTTGGAGAATATGAGTACGAAACAGCAAAAGCAGTGCGTTCGCGAAACATTGAAAATTAAAAGGAAGCTTGTTTCTCAAGATCTGCCATTTACAAGACGATGTTTTGTCACCGCCGTTCGGTTGACACATACAGAAAGCTCCATTTTATACTGTGGTAAACAACTGTACGTACCTTCATGTAAAGAAAACAAAATCCTCGAAAATATAAAGGACCAATATCGCAAACGTTTTCGTGCGGCCAAAATCAAACAAAAGCCCTCTCTACTACGAACTCTCACTTACAATTTCACCTACGATCCCAAGGACTGGAAAAATGTCCGACTGAAATTACCCAAACTGTTTGTGGAAGTCACTCCTCAACTGCGAAAACGAATTCACCCTCACGTGGAGCGTTACGTGCAATACGACAAGGAAGTTTTAGATGAAGAGAGAGTCGCGTTCGCACTGAGCACATTAAAAGTGAAAGATCAACCCTTTGTACCGCAAACTTTTGTGTTTCCCGTTCGGTATAAGAAAACCAAGGTGTTCCGGAAACGAAAAGAACCCAAACCTTTGCCACCCTCCACCTGTCATGAATCCGACGACGTGATCGAAAGTGGTGTTAAAGAAGTCATCGAAAGACTGCTGGACTACTGCGAGATATTGGATCAAACCAAAGATATAGTTTTGGAAGACGAAGTTCGTGTAGTGGAAGAAATACACCCCGTGCAGGAGGTTGTAGATAAAATTGCGAACACTAAATCTGATAGTCCAACCCTAAAGAAAACTGAGGCCGAAATGAGGAGGTTAAATTGTAAATTTCTCTCGATTCCCACTAACGAGGATGTAAGCTCTAAGGGACCGTGCAAGAAGGAACATTGCGCACTCGGATGCGTCTGCAGTAATTATTCGACGTTACTCGACCAAAGCCACTGCGGAAAATACAAGTGTATGTTCGAGTGTACTTGTAAAAATCGTTCCGAGTCGAATACGTTTTCTCAATGCGTTATTAATCAGCTCCAGGATGAGGCAAAGAAAAATCTTGCCAAAGTAAGTTGTTCAATTTTATGTTTTCGCATTTATAGAAATTTATCTATCGTTTGTAATTTTTTTTTTGATTCTGAAATTATTTTAATCGTAAAAGGTACAAATAGAAATGAGACCGATTTTCTTATTTTGAGTATCAACACGGTATTTAAAAACAAACCTTGCAACAATCTCAAGCAAAGGCTATTGTGACTAGCGTTATTGTCTTTCCATGACTTAAATACCGTCCCATTTTCAAATATTCACGTTTCATCCAAAAAGACACATTGGCGTCAAGACTAACATTGCATATTTGCTATTTACGCATCTAAAAAATAGACTCTAGATAGTGCAGTATTGGGTAACTGCATTAAACCTTTTCTTGGGTTATCTTTTTGATAGTGGAAACCAATATTCGCAAGGAACTTTTGGACCCATTAAATACGTCGTTTTTCTTTTAGACCTTGCAAAGAGCTTGAAGCGTAACATGTTCTAAGATACAAACGTAAACTGCTTATACTTAATATCTACACAAATATCAATTTAATATAATATAGCTTGTTGACACAAATGCCTATCTACATTCAACGTGTTTTAACATACTGTGTTGGATCATGTC